CTTTCCCTGCTCGACCCGTGCCCTCTCTTCTGTGCCTCGACAGAGCTGTTCCTCCTGCACGTGGGTGGGAGGCTGAGCTGCTCACCCTGAAGGTATCAGCAAAATATGCATCATATTTTCCAACAGGATAATATCCTGCTAATTCGGTGAGGGTTTTAGGCAAACACTCAGTGTTCTATATGTAATGTGCATTTTTTATTTGGAATTAATGATGAGCATAGAGTTTCGTGGAGGTTTCATTTTCTTGCTCTAAATACATATTGATCAGGAGTAAGTTCTACATATTTTTCCACACTTAATGCATCGAAATTTGTTGCAATAACCTTAAACCTATTAATAGTTCTTATTATAGATGTGCTTTCATAGAATATCTCTATCCACCTTTGCCAGAGTAAAGTGGATACTGAAACCCTGCTCCACTCAGGTTGAAAATCCCAACGTGGTGCATTGACTTTTGATGTGCTGATGATATTTTCTTTGTGAGAAAACAGCTCCCCTCCACTGCTCCAGCCCAGGGGCTGTAGGGAGCGACTGTGTGTTTCTTAGAAGGTGAAAACTGAACACAGATTTTCTTTCCACTCTGATCATGTTTCTTTTCCAGGCCCTGGAAGAAGCCCAGAAAGCCATTCAACAGCTCTTTGGTAAAATTAAGGATATTAAAGACAAGGCTGAAAAATCCGAACAAATGGTGAGCAGCAGTTTCTTTCTAGCCTTTGAAAAGGAGAGGAACACTGACTTTTGCTTCCAGTTCTTGTTAAGAAGAGAACTTTTTGTCTTTGGTCCTGCTGACTGATTGGTAATTTGCTGTCAAGCCTGTGTTGAACCTGTACCCATGTCCTTGTGTTAACATGGCTGTAGAGCCATCATGTGTGTAGTCCCAAAGGGAGGAGAGAGCCCTCCTTACCTCCGTAAAATTTAGTTACTGTGGCTTGGTATTTAACCAGACTCTTGTTTTTTCATTCATTAGGTCAAAGAAATCACACGGGATATCAAGCAGCTAGATCATGCCAAGCGTCATCTGACCACCTCCATCACCACCCTCAATCACCTGCACATGCTGGCGGGAGGTGTGGATTCACTGGAGTAAGTCTGTGAATTTTTAGTGGTACTTCGACGCCACTGCTCAGTTCTTAAGCTTGATGCAGTGCTCTGAAGAGATCTGTAACAGCTGCTCGTATTTCTGGAGAGAAGTTTGTTTAATACGTTGCAGTCTTAATTTTTAGGACCTGCAACCCATGGTGCTGTATTTAAGGGTTTGCAGCATCGATCGCTTGAATTGCTGTGTTGATCCTTGGTGATAAGGAAGGAGTCTGGCTTCATTAAAGAGTAAGATAGTCTGTGCAGTTAAGTATCCTCGTTAGGGTTGTGCTCTTCAGGGATTTGGGGGGATTTTTATCAGTCTCATGTCTTAAACTGGACTGACATCTCTTTTTTGGAAAGGTCTACTCTAGTTCTGAGAATGAGTTAAAGAAGCCTTACAGCTTGTGCTGTGTGTGAAGTGGGGTTAGATGTTTCTAATAATCCTTTGTGGGTTTTTTTAATGTGCTTGAGGAAAACACAGGCTGGGGAAATCCATTTTTTTACATGTTGCATCTGTGAAGTTGCAAGACACAGGCACAGCCTGTTCTTAGATTGTAGCAAATTCTGCACGAACACTGGGTTGTTAAGTGTTTGGAATTAAATTTTACTTAGGCTGCTGTCTCCATTAGAATGATCCTAAAGGATGAAATAAAAATAAATCAACTTGATTTTTTTTTTTTCCTATCAGTTCCCTGTGAAAGTTATTAACAGAAAAGTCAAGGCTAATAGCTTTTCAGCATAATGACTCTCCTCCCTGTGAAGCTTTAACTCACACTTTGTGTGTGATGACGAATGGCTTAACTCAGGTCATTATAGTGAAATAACATTTACTGCATCCGGACCCATGCTGGGAAGCGGATGCATTCAGTAGTTTACATGTTCTTTGCCAAGTGTTGCTTTTGACATTTATGTTTTTCGAAGCATTTAGTTGTGTGCCAGATTGGTTTATTTTAGCATCAGTTAAGTGAAATTTTAATGCTGCATTGGAATGTTAATGAAGAGTTGTGTATTTTAGAAAAATAAATGTCAATAGGGACCGGCATGACCCCGTGGGGATGAGGTAACCTGTGGAATTACCACCCAGGATTTTCATTGAACCTGCCTTTGTAAATCTTTAATTTCCTCTACAGAGCTATGACCAGGAGGAGACAATATGGGGAGGTTGCCAACCTTCTCCAAGGTGTGGTGAACGTGTTAGAGCACTTCAACAAATACATGGGGATTCCGCAGATTCGACAGCTTTCTGAAAGGTAAAATGGTCAAACTTGAGCACTTACATTCCTGCTGGGACGGAAGGTTAGAAAATGTGTTGGGCAGAATCAGTTTCTCGAGGATGTAAAGGCTTGACATGGTCCTTTGAGCTTCTTTCCAGCCAAAACAAACAGGTTAAAATTGGACACAAATCTTGAGCAATCTATCCTGTTAAATAACAGTAATCAGTACGGATCTAATTCATGAATGATCTGCACTTCTTCTTGACTGGCTTTTAATTTACCTTACCTGGAGTAATCTGCGGAACTGCAAATTGTTTTCTGTGATCTTCCTATGCAGGTTTTTGTGGTGAACCCTGAGGTGATGCTTTCTCCTGCTTTTTTAACCTCAGTGATACAGTTCAGCAGCCCGGCATGAACCAGAAATACGTGCATTAACACCATGGTGCCTGGGGCCCCTTTCTGCCCAGACATGTGCCTTCTGCTGTCGAATTGCTGTCAAACTGCATAGTTGCCCAAGGGTTTAGGCAGGCAGGACTTCTTATGCATTTGCCAAACTCGGTTATTCTGAGCACCTTGAGTTTTCTCAGCCAAAACTTGCTCCTGTTGCCCGTCTCTGCTGAGATTTGAGGCTTATAGCAAATCTTCCCAAAATTGGATGCAGGACACCTGACTGCTCTAAACATTTATGCTGAGCTAGTATAGTCTTGGTATTTTTAATGTGGAGTTACGCGTTTAAATTTGATGAGTTTTGGTGCAGCTCCAACAGCAAGTGCCCACCGTTCTCAGCAGTAGTAGGTGAAGGCTCAGAGGTGACTAAGCCACCAGATCTTCTAGGGTCTTGGCTTCATTTGAGACGTGACAGCTGGGTGTCGAGGGAACGAGGCTCTCCCTGTTCTAGGGACCATTGCTGTTCCTGGCCAAAACCTACTCTTCTTCTTTACAGAGGGCTTTATTTCTTTTACATCACACACATGATGTTTGCTTAACAGCCTGTAGTAGTGCTGAGCACAGCTCAGAGGTGAAAACAGCCTATTAATGTTAGGGATGAACCTTCTTAATGACACAACCATACCTGATAGCATTTCTTTTCAGTGTGAAAATTGCAGATCTGTCACCACCATCCTCTTGATGCCCAAGATGACTTTGCTCATTACAGAGGTATTTGAAGGAGTAATTAATTTTTTTCCTAATTCCCTTTTCTAAGACAGCAGCTGGCTGCCTGTGCCATTTAGTGATGGAAACAGTGTTTGAGTGATTTGTTTGTAATATTTTCATGTAAATCTGTTGGACTTTCTTTACGGTATAACTGCCTCTTCCAGAAAACACAGATGGAATCCATGAGACAGAGCAAAAGAAAAATCCACCCTAAATCTAGAGAGAGAGATGGGGCCTTGTTTCAACAAAGAATTTGACCATAAGCATTTGCTTAAATGAACGTGAACATCAAGGAAATATAAACATATGTCAGTGCTTTTCTGAATTTAGGCTGTTGTCTATTCCAACCTCGTGCTCAGAAAGATAGCTTGCTTCATTTTCTTCCAGAGTGGTAATGCCCTTGGGCAGAAACCTGCTGTCATTGGCCTTTTTAAGGCCAAATATAATTTAAGCCTTGGTCCAGAATTCTGGCTGGTTTTCCCGTTCTGATGGATGATTATTTAATACTTTTGTAGTTGCTGATAATTATAGAAAGCAATTCATGCTGCTGTTAAAAGGCACAGTGGTTTCAAGTCACGCCAGAGAGACTGGCAAGGACATGGAGGAAAACTTCTTTTGTTTTATTCTCCCTTCAAGATAAGGATCTGAAAAACTCAAGAAAGTCTGTTCCTCCTATTTTTAGAATTGCCTCGGCAGGGTTTTCCTTCCAGTGTTTACACAGGGAGAGTTGCACCATCTGGTAGTGATAGAAGCGGCTGCTTGTGGGGCGAAAGGAGAGCTGCACCCAGGGTGTTGCTGGGATCTCCTTACTGCTTTGACATCCAGGCAGCAAATTACTGCAGAGAGTTCTATGGCACAGTAATATCTGCTTTGGAGTTTGACTACACGTGTACTTATTAGGGCCCAATTTGGAGCTGACTTTTCTCTCTCTTTGCTTGGAAATACTTTCGTGATTCATAAAACATCAAAGGAAGTTTGCCTGGCTTCTCGCAAGGCTGTTTTTAGGCTGAAATTGCTGGGGTTTGATATCTCATGAATTTGGTTTAATGGTACAAGTGAAGCCTCTTGGATGTTTGCAAAAGCAAGAAATGCTTCAGTAGATGTTGGCACAGAGCTGTGACAGTAACCAAAGTCCATTACTTACAATAAGTCTATTATATACACTGCTAAACGAGCAGATTTCTTTAATAAAGAGCCTCCCTTTCTTGGTGTGAATGGAGTGAAGCCAAGTATGAATGGGAAACCATGGGAAGGAAAAGCGCCTGCTTGGTGGTGTTGGATGTGCTCTTCGTCATGGGGTGTTCAATTTAGGTTCCTGCTCCTGCATGCTGGGAAAACTAACGATGTGTTTTTAATGTTGATTTCCACCTGTTCAGTGCCTTTGAAAATCCCACTGTAAGCATTCATTGGAAACCTGACTGGACTCTCAATTAATTGGTTTCTTGTGCCGATCCTGTTGAGTGTTGATATAAAAATGTTACAACTCGCATCCAAATATAAATATTTTCCTCATCGTGTTCCTAAACCAACTTCTTATATGGTGCATTGGAAGTTGTTTGTTGTCGTAAATAGCAATATTTTGTTATCTCTCAATCCTCTTCTGTTTTCTGTCTGTGGAGGGAGCGTACAATTAGTGGTCACAAACCCACCCATGAAAGTGGTCGAAAAGCCTAGCAGATAGTGGAAAAAAGCCTGGAAAGTATTTAGGAGAAAGATGATTATAAGTTTGCCACAGAAAAACAGGCTAGCTCAGCCTCTTTTTATCTCAGCAAGCTGCCAGGCGTAGTTTAAGATTTCTGGTAGCTTTGGCTAAAGGAATTGTGGTTTCTAGTAATTTAATGTCATTTGAAACATAACAGTGGGTTTTCTTGTTTTTATTTTTTTAAAGGCGGGGGAAACGGAGAACAAAAGCCACTAATAATAAAACAAAAGTCAGAGAAACAAAAGTCACTAATACTCGTGTAACCAAAGGTTTTGGCACATGCGAGCAACCCCAGGAAAAATCAGTTCCCTGCTGCGGGGGAGCCAGGACGGCTGCTGCGATACCCCAGATCCTAAATCTGTTATCAGCTGGGAGTGCCTGGGGTTGCTGAGCCTTAGTGGGCAATTCATTTTCTGCAAGAGATTAAACACACGCCCTTATACGTGTGCAGAAACGGTCCTGCAGCGGTGAAGGCGAGTGAAGCCAGCCGTGGGGTCGAGGCTTTTATCGCTGCGGTTTCCATTGCATGAAGATTATTCTGAATTATTGAAAGGCTCACAGCTTTCCATGGGGAGCGATTATCTCCAGTGGCTAAAGCAAGTGCCTTCCTGTGTTCCTTGCCTAAAGCAATCACTCTGTAAAAAGATGGCGTAAAGGTTTTCATGTTTCTGGTTGCATGCTCCTGGAAGAAAAATAATTGTGTGTTTAGGTAAAGAGCGACGGTTACTGGGAGGGCAGTGAGGCTCCTTGTTGTGGCTCACACATACCTAAACCTTTCATTATGTTGATGTCTCTGCCCTATCTCTATCTTACAAAATACAAAGGAAAAAAAAAAAAAGCTAAAACTTATTTTCCATGTTTGCTTTTGAGAGATTTTTAAGCAGGACAGGTTTTCTAAAAAAATATATTTTTATCATTCATTCCTGCAAGTTCCTTAATTTAAGGATATGAGAATCCCTATTAAGACTATCCTTAAGTACTTTCCTGAATCAGAGCCTAAACCAACAAAGCCTGTGGACAGGGCTTTTAACTGCTTGACAGTGCCTCTTTGAAATTTGTTGAGTCTTTAGGAGTCCGGCTGCTGCTCCTTTCAGTGCCTCCGCTGTGCTTACACCGCAGCAGTTGTCAAATGGGAAGGTCCCCGTAGCTGGTCGTAAGGAAAGAAGTACCACAGCTAATACTTCCAGTTGTTTGTACAAACTCATTCATTTCTGTGATTCCTAATACTAAAGACTTCTCTTTTTTTCTCAGTTATTTAAAAGGTAAAATTTTTCAATCCATGTTTACTGTCTTTTTCTTCTTTTTTGCTCCTTTTTCTTAAGGATCAGAGTTTGGTTCTGTGATGCTTTCTCACATGAATTACTAGTGCTTACTTGTGCAATGTAAGCAGATTATATCTGTGGTTGCGGCTGCTGGGCTGAGTGTCTCCTTAATGCTTAAACTTCCCACTGCTTCTATTTATTTCAATGTATTAGTGAATCCCTTTCATTTCACAGTTTGAAGGTGTTAACTAGGGATCTATACCTGGAAGAGTAGAGGAGCTTCTAAACATTCCTGTGAAGCAAAGAGCTTAAGTGAGAATTATGTTTGACCTTGCAGGCAGGAAGCTTTTTCAGCAAAATCCCCATAAATAAATCCTGCCTAAGGCAGGTCATACATACGGTTAAATCACAGATATAAAGTTATTTCAACCATCACTTTTAAAAGACCTAGAATTTTCTGCATTTAGCACCATTAAAGAATCCAGCATTGTCAGGTCATCTCGTAGTGTTTCGCTACTAATGGACCTCAAATGGGAAGATTAAAGCAGCAGATCATTCCTTGATAAGGTTGAGGAGTCTTAAACAAAAAAAATAAAATAAAATCCAAGGTCTTCTCCCCACAGTCTGAACAAACATTTTCACGAAAGTAAATGTAGCCGCTCTTTCTAACATATCAATCTCAGTGGAAAAATCCACTGCTTTGAATGATCACTTTAGGCCTTAAAGCGTTTCCAGTATAATAAAAAGTGATGGAAGAATTCAAGGGCTCAGAGGGATGTAAGTGCCTAACTGTTTGTTTTGGCTCTTTCTAGTATGTGTAGGCATTTCCATTTCCCTAGAAGTATCAATTAAGCTGTATTGACTTTTATTTCTGGAAATTGGAAGCTTTATTCTCTCAGCTAAATAAAGAGAAAGATTGTTCAAAACTTTTTCACCCATTTCATACCTTTGCTCTTTTATGCTTCTTAAGACGTGGAGGATTTATAGGATAAAACCGCAGCCAACAGTATTCACATGGATGCATTTAAAAGTGCACCTGGAACTGTGAAAGGTTCACGATGAAGACTGAGACATTGTGTTAGAAACATGCTTTTATTGAAATGTGATAGACATACATGAGCATAAAGGTAAATTGATCACATTGACATCAAAGGATCCCAGCTGATTAACTGGCCCTTATTGAAATGCTAAATTGCAGCAGGGCAAGAGCATCTAGGATGTGCTCTGCTACAGCTCAGGGATTGATGCTGTAGAGCTGGAGTTGTCATCCCAGTGTCATTCAGGGAGCAAATGCTCTCCCAGTTTTGACATACAGACCTTCTTAGTGTGGATGTTTTCCTCTTAGCTTTTTTTAATTTTCCCTTAAAAACTTTCATGTAGCTGTTAGCATTTCAGTCCACTTTGAAGTAGTGTTTGCAGGCAAGGGAACAAAGAAGTCGTACCACCAACAAAGCCCTTGCTTCCTCTGTCCTCATCAGGGTGAAAGCAGCGCAGAATGAGTTGGGACAGCAGATCCTGGCTGACTTCGAGGAAGCCTTTCCTTCTCAAGGTACAAAGGTAAAGTTCTCACTTCCCCTCTTCCTCCCTTTGAAAAGTGTTGCTGAAAACTATTCCATGTAATTGTCATTGGTTTTAATCTCATTTTGCATCTAGATTTGATCTCTCTCTGTTTCAAGAGGTGTTTTAGAAAGCAAATGAGTCTCCCAACCTGTAGGGTGCTAGGTGTATGTCTCACTGTCTCTGAGTGAATGGGGGAGAGGAATGACACCCCTCCTCTGTTGTGCTGTGCACATCTGTTGCAGTGAGGTCTGCAGGGCATTGAAGCAGTGCCCCAGGCAATTCACGTGTGGCCCTGTAGACCAAAGTGGGGTTCCCTCGGCATCTCACCCAGGTCACCCGTTATTTGCTGGACACGAAAGGTCCGTGTTGTGTTTAGGGAAAGCCGAGCACAGGCTGTCTGTTGAGATGCTGCCACCAAGTTTGTCTCTGGTTTACTCAGACAGCACAGGTACAGATCTGGGCTAGGGCTGAGGCACCCAATGTGCTTCCTCAAAATTATGCATCCAAATGCTTGCAAACAGTAGTGGGGGGTAGTGGATGAAAACTGAATTTTGAATTCATTTCAAAGAAAACACTGGTTCTGTCTCTCAGAATACCAGCTCTGCTCATTTCTTCATAAAACTAGCAAGTACAGCAATGAGAAAACTATTTAGAACAGATCCCTGATGAAGGGCAAGTCTCTGCCCATGTGACATACCTTCAAAACAGCATTTTTTTTTTTAAATGCTGCTGAATTTTCTGTCGCCGCCACTCATGTCATGGTATATCAATGCAGATAAGCAGATACTACTTTAGGTGTTACAAGTTGATCATCTCTAGACTGCTTTTTCCCTTCAGTAATTTGGCCTTCAGTTTTGCAGAAAAGGACCCATGAATTCCCTCGTTAATTTGGCCTTGTAATTTTGCTTGTCCCACTTGTCAGCCCCTTCTCTTAGCTGTACCTCAGAATATCTAGGACCATGCAAGGCTTTGCAGAAATGGTGGGACAACAGTTCTTTCTGTCGATGGAGCTGGCTGCTCTTCTGCATTAGGGAGCTTCCAGGCTGTTGAGCTACAGAACAACTTTACAGCCAGGAAAATGGAAGGAGTTCAGTTTTCATCCAACAGAAGACAGATGCCTAAGTATTAAAGAGTAGCAGCAGAAGCACCAAAAAGAGAAGAGTAATAGGAAAGGATAAAAACAGGCTAACCTGGATGCAGTACAATTTACAGTCACCTATTCATATTTAACCTTAAATCATTTGTTCCTGTTTATTTTGATAGAGGCCTGGTGGACCCAGCAATGTCCTACGTGATGCGTGTCTAGTCGCCAATGTCCTGGATCCCAGAATCAAACAGGAAATCATCAAGAAATTTATTAAACAACACCTCTCAGAGTATCTGGTCCTTTTCCAGGAAAACCAAGATGTAAGGGAAGCTTAGCAAGCTACATTTGGATTTCACATTTTGCTCTGCTGGCGTTCACAAAGTTCATGTTTCCATGAGTTTCTGTGGTGAAATGTTTCTAACCCGAGGGCTCGGAAGCAGTGAATTGCGGGTGTGATATGGACTGGCTGATGAGTTGGGAGTCAATGTCGTCTCTGCCAGGATGACTTCCTCCCACCTTAGACCTCAGTTTCATATATCAGCACTGGAAATGCTTTCCCCTCATATAGTAAATAAATAAATTCAAGTTAGATATACTTTCTGCCCAGTAAAGGTTTGAAAAATAAAACTCTGAAAATTGCAAACCCAAAAAATTTCAAAAACAACACCTCTCCCCAAACAAACAATCAAAAAACCCTTAAAATGCCTAAAAAGCAGGGGGAGGGATTGCCAGGAAATAGATTAATCTTTGTAGCTAATTATTTAAACTTCCTGTCCTGATGCTATAAAAACTTTAAAAATTTACTATAAACATCTTGGATTTGAAAAAAAAAAAACAACAAACAGACAAAACCAACTTTATTTCAAAATGTATTTTAAGAATTTCAAAATTTTGACAGTTTGTGACAAAAAGGAGAAAAAGGTTAAAATGCTTCATTTTAAAAAGCATTTTTCCATCAAAGTTGTTTGGATTAATCTTTCTACTTTTTGACCAGAAGGCGCTAATATTGGGGGGGGAAAAATTTCATCCTGGTCATGTTGTAAAAATTCTTGTAGAAGTTTATGGGTCCACAGTCCCCAGAGTGTGAAAACCAGCTGAACACGAGAATCCAGGAATTCCTGCATTCTCATCCCACTGTTGACTTCAGCCTCTCTGTGAAACAAAGAGGGTGGGATCACATGAGTTATTATTGGATTGAGTTTTCGATAGTACCTACATGATTTAGGAGCGCTGTTATCCTCGTTTTCAACAGCACTTGCTCTCTTAATGCGCACGAGATAGGGTTTTCAGTCTGGCATGTGTTTAAGCACTTTGAAGAATGACTCACCGTTCCAAGCGTTATTAATAGTGGTCAGGTTCGTGCTGATCGATAGCCCAAGCTCCTCTGCAGAACCTACGGCAGCACAGAGAAGCAGTCAGGCTGAATATTAGCAGCTGCTGCTGTTAAAGATGATGTTCTCCATCTTGCTCAGGTGGCCTGGCTGGATAAGATCGACAGGCGCTACGCTTGGATAAAGCGTCAGCTGGTGGACTACGAGGAGAAGTACGGGCGCATGTTTCCCCAGGAGTGGTGCATGACGGAGCGCATCGCTGTGGAGTTCTGCCATGTCACGAGGTGAGCGTCTGGGGAGCTCACGATGCTTCCCAGCAGAGTCACCTTCCTTAAAGCAAAAGGTTGGCTTGTCTTTCGCCAAATCCGTCGTGTATCCATAGGACTCTACAGGCAGTTTTCAAATACCTGTGTAGAATTGCCCATGATTGAAAGCAAGTGGAGAGCGAAAACCCTGAGAAGTATCACTAAAACTGTGTGGACTATTGAGAGAGTGAGATGATGTGGAAATCAATTTTCAGTGTAATAGAGGTAAAAATCAGTAGTATTAAAGGCCAAGAGAAATAGCATGAGCTGACTATGGTATGACTGCCTCGGGCCTTGCTCCTTGCCAGCCAGAGATGGGATACCAGAGGAAGGTGCCAGCTGGAGTCCCAGTAGCACCATTGCCTTTGTTCTGGGACCCTGGTCAGAGACACTGCGCTTCCCAAGGTTTGATGCTGTGGACTTTCCAGGCTGCAGTGGTGCACTGAGGTGTTAGGAGATGGGGTCCTGTTACCCACAAAGCTCTAAACAACTGCGGTTATGTTTGAAATGTGATCTGTAAAGCAGTTTTATGTTAGAGAGCGTCTTAGGAATTAGCTTGAATTTTGTGATGAAAAGTGTCTCTGGGGAATAGGCTGAATTACAGTGTTAGGTTTCAGATCTTTCCCTTTATAGAAATTCACATTTGTTTTTTCTCTTTTTCCCCCCCCTCTCTTTCAGGACAGAGCTCGCAAAGATAATGCGCGCAAGAGCAAAGGAGATTGAGGTGAAATTGCTTTTGTTTGCAATTCAGAGGACAACCAACTTTGAAGGACTTCTGGCTAAGCGCTTCTCAGGTTGCACTCTAGCTGATGGGACAGTGGTAAGGGGATTTCTAAACAGCAGCCCTTTAGTGCACAACTTCTTCAGCAGAAAAAAACCAACCTTTTCACGCGTAGCTATGGTAGTGGGAGACTGCAAAAAGTGGCATGTACAGCCTCCTCTTGTGCTGGCACGTCAGGGTGTTTAGTGTGACTGTGTGTAGTGGGTTGTAAATGGGAAGGTGATTCTTGATCTTGCAGAGTGTGGTAGAGAGGGTGGCCCAGGGCTCACAAGAAGGGAAGGTACATCAATTGTGTACTTTTTTGGTTCCCCTGGGCCCTCTGCTGTTTGTGACTGAAGCCACATTGCTGTGGAGAACCACAAAGTAATTATGGCATGGTGACTGCATTATAATGTTTGTTCTCTGCGTGTCAATGACACATTATAACTGAAAGTCCCCTTTTCTCTTCGTTTCTGGTTACCGCACGTTCACCGCGTGGTGCTGACTTTCAGTCCCACACTGTCTGTTGGGTTAGTCTCACTTGCAGGGGCGTTGGTAGCTTCCACTTTGCAGTGTCTCATTGGTAGATTGTAAAGGCAGAGCCAAGAGAAACAGCTCAGTGAATATCTCTGGGGTCATCTCTGTGCTGCTTCTGCCTGAAATCTCAGCCAAGAGCTCTGCCAGCCAAGTGCCCTGGGAGCAGAGAGTCCACGTGCGGCTCGGAAGCCACGGCTTTGAGGTTGGCTTCTCTGTCCAGCTGGTGTCTCGAAGCCTACTTGGATGTGATAATTCAGCCTACGAGGCAAGCCTGCTGGACCTCTTTGTAATTTGCTGTGGATCAGTAGGTACTGCTAATTAAAAAAGGAAGTCCTGTAAGGTCTTCCTCCTGGTTGAATTTAGATCTCTCAAGAACATGGCTTTATTTTTCTGACAAATTTCATACTAAATTTGCAGCTTTAATTAAATTGGCTTCACTGGGTTTTTATCCCTTTGGAGAAGGTAGGCACAGAAGCTCTTACAACTGAGAAAAACAGAAGGGGAGGGTGTGACTTCAAGTAAAAGAAAATCCTCTCTGGCCCCCTTTCTGAGCTGCCTAGAGGCTATGGCACTCTGGATGTCATCATCTGACCTGCTTTGTGCACAAAATGAAGGCCATAATCATAAATGACTATCTGGTGAGTGGGGACAAGGAGTCTGGCAGGTTTTTTTTGGGCTTACTGCAGCAGCAGAGTTTTGGGGTCTGCTGTCGTGGGTCTTCCTGGAGGATACCACGTGCTTCGGAGCATGTGGTTTGAGAGAGTGGAAGTTTGATGCTGGTCAAAATGCCCCTTCCAGGGCTGGTTCAGGCAGAGTGGGTGAGCGTGAGTGCAAGAAGAGCAGGCTGTAAGAGGGTGCTGAAGAGGGTGCTGGTGGAGCGATGAAGAGAGAACTGGGCTCTGGCCCAGTGGTAGGAGGGAGTGTGTCCTGACCTTGATGGAGAAGCACTGCCTGGCACTCTGTAATCACCTCTGTGCTTCGAGAAGACAAACTGCTGTACAGTGCTTTGAAGGGCTTAGTAAAGCAAAACATGGATGCAGCTGTGTGGGAGAGGGAACAAAACAGACTGTTCTCTAAGGAGCTTCCTCTTTTTTTAACAGAAAAAGCCAGAAGTGCCACCTCCCTCCACCAACCCATTTCTGGAGGATGAAACTGGGACAGACACAGATGAGATTGTGATTGAGAGAAGTGATATGGACAAAGTAAGTCTTTGAAGTTCTCTGGTTGTCAGTTAAGGAGTTTCTCTGTCAAAATTCCTGGTGGTGCCTAGGCTTTTCCCATCACATTGATTTGAAAGGTTTGTTTTCACAGCAATTAATTTAGCACAGTTTTGGTCCTCTGTGCAGCATACAGGCTCCCAGTACGACCATGGTTTGCTCTGGCTCACTTCACTGAAACCAAAGCAATCTTTATTTCAGTTAATAGTGCGGAGACAATACTGCCACGTGAGAGTGAGCTGGATTCTGTTCTGGCCCGTAGAGCAACAGCTCAAACGTAACTACAGGGTGTCTGTCAAAGAAAGATGAACTAGCTTAGCTGGGCTTTCAGATCCCGGAAGAATGTCCCACTGCAAGCAGTTGCAATTGGTATTTTGCCTTGTCAGCCAAGCAAACTAAGTCTGGAGTCACCAGGCAACTCATTGAACTTTCAAGTGTCAGGTTTAGATTTTCACTCCAGATACATTACTTCTGGGATTGTTATCTCTCTAGTGCTTTCATCCGTTACCTTTGCAAAGCCGGCAACACCTAACCACTTGGAAAAGCACTGGGTTTCCAAAGCCCTCTGCAAACATTAAAGGAGTGAATAGTAAACACAATTGTTTTACTTGGCACCGATATCAAAGCCTGTAAGCCTCGTATTTTTTTCTCACCAGATAGATGTTTTCTGAATGTTCAGTTGTAAGTCTCTTGGGGCAGGTACCTTCTCTTTGTTTGGTGAGTTTACAGCCCTGTAAACAGACTGTTTACAGGGGGTGTCCTGATGGATGACCAGGGCTCTAGGAACCACTCAGATCTGTGGTCCTGGGGAGTTTGTGGGGTGATATCTCTCTATCAGCGCAGTTTGGTGCAGTGCATCCCCTCCAGATTTTCGCTCGAGCAGGACAGCCCTCTGCCTTCCACCCACAGCAGAAGTCCTGAAACAGAATGATTAAGCAAAGTTTTGCTCTTTCCATTAAAATACAACTTGGACAATTGATGTTGGCCAGACTTTATCAGTGATCTAGAAAACAGAGATTGGAAATTTAGGGAGACGCATGCAGTGTAATTTTGGTGAAGAGCTTGCTTTCCCGTATCTGTAATGGCTCTGATGTGCAGCATTGAGATGAGAGGACATCCTTGGAGAAGTCCATAGTGCTAGAAGGCAGGTGAAGAGACAAATTGCAAAGCCTCTTTAGACTGCTAGGGCTGTTTTTAGTGAACAGTAGAATGCACAGCCCTGGCCAGAAACAGTTCAGATGCTTCTGAGAAAGGAACTGCTTTGCTCCTTGTACGTGGGGAGGCTGGTACCAAGGCATCCATTGAGCTATCCCTTGAAATGCTGTTTGTGGCAGGTTGCCCTCTCTTTCTAGATAGGCCCTGTGTTAATGCTGACAACTCAGTGCTGGGCTCTGCTGCAAGGGTGGCTGCCCCACAGGTGCCTGTCTGCCACATGGGAGCCCCATAAGCCCCAGTAATTCAAAGTGCCAACAGCTGGTGGTTAGTGCTAGTGGGTTCATGTTGGAGGTCTCTAGCTGAAGAAGAGAAGGGACAGGAAGGGTTGAAGATGGAAGAGGTTTACCACTCAAAGCTCTTCAAGACACTTGAGAGAGAGCACAAGAATTGGGGGTGAGGTGGAGAATCCATGTTAAAAAAGAACCTCTTTTAGTGATCCTAGCAGTTCATTTTAATCTGTTTACTTTGGATAGTAATGAAAGGAAACTGGGCCAGCTGCAGACCTCCTTACTGTGACAACAGTAACCTTTTATTATTTCCATCAAACTCGAGGAGGAAATAGCTTAAACATCTGCAGCTTTTGGACAGAATTGCGCACTCAGAAATACAGCTTCACTGCTACTGTTAAAAGATTTAGTATTCTCTCCACCAGACATGCTGGGAGCAGCATGATGCAAAGACACAGGCGCACACACAGAAAACCAGTCCTGCGTTGGGAGTTGGCTCTTCCAGCCTGGTAAATCGTAAACATCATGAATCTGTGACCTTGCGTTGGTGCTGCCATCCTGGAGACTTGGCGACTGGAAGGTTTCTGTAATTACCACCTATTGTTTTCCTCCCGGCTCCGAGAAGCGTGTGCATCCGGCAGAAACGGGCAGACGCTGGCAAAGAAGCTGGGACGGAGAATGCTGGGTAGTGGCTTCCTCCCACAGCTGTAAAAACTTACATTCCCCAGTCATGCTCACAGTGAGAAGGTTAATGAAGCCAGTCGCATAGAGGTGGTCTGGTCTCCATAAAACCGTTAGCTCGCTTTAGGTCTGCAGCCATGTGTTAGTATTCATTGTGTCTTTGAGTCTTAATTATTTTGGAGAAATCCTTGTCTTGTCGTTCTTTGCTATTTCTGCAAATGACTTCATGCCACCTCCTCTGTCATTTAGGAGAGTATGTCCTTTAGACTCTCTTGTTTTGCTTTTCTTATGCTCAAAAGAAATTCCAACTGGAAAAATTCATATCTTCATTGGCTGGGAGCTGATCCTGGCTTTTTGTGGAGAGAGGCAAGAATTCCATTCCAGAGTCACTGCAGCCCTCTTTGCAGGCAGTGAAAAATTGTCAGCTTGCCGGCAAGCAACAAGAAAAACTGTCTATCGGTAAAAAAAAAAAAAAAATCTAGCTGTAGGGTGAAGATGAGCCTAAAGGCCCTGCCCAGCCTGGTACTGCAACATGCACAAATTTAAGCGTGTGAGTAGTCCCAGTGAGTCCCAGTGGCCTCAGTGAGATGTGCTTGGCCACTGCATAGAGTGCAGCACTAAACTAAGCTGAGAGTAAACCGGATGACTCCCAAATGGCATATGTGCTTAATGCCATAAATGTGATTTTAAAATAGAAGTCTTTGCATCCCCAGAAACATGCTTCACAGTGACAGCGGTCCTGTCGTGTTGCCTGTATAATTCCAGCTTCTCCAGTAATTACGTTCTGTTTATCTAAATAAAATTCACCCAGATGAAGTCTGTAACTTTGAGTTATTATCCTTAATGTTCTAAAATGTAGGAATTTTTCAATATTGCTTCCAAATAACTGCTGCATTTCATTTCAGAGGTGACTAGTGGAGTCTGGTTACTATTTGAAGGGTGCAGCAATGTTTTGTTTACAAAGTACATTAAGATTCTCCTACTGAAATCTGTTAGCATGCAGCAGTCTTCTCTGTAAGGATAGGAATATTTTACAAGTGAAAAGTAATTCCTTGGAATATTAACAGCTCTGTAGCACTAAGGGAAGACTTGGATCCACTGATGCTGTATGTATCTTTGATTATTTGACAGTAAATTTGTGTATTGTAATATTTCTAAAGACTTAGATCCTCCTGTGCATTACTGTTTCTTCTAGGTCAAATCTTCAGGGCAGATTTGAAACCAACACTCTAAATGTTTTCTTACAGCCAAAGAAGCCAAAGGTTCCTGACAATCCTTTTCATGGCATTGTTTCCAAGTGCTTTGAGCCTCACCTTTATGTGTATATCGAGTCCCAGGACAAGTGAGTGACCAGCGTGCTCTTTTGGGTTTGTTTGCTTTTGAATGTGTATTACAGTTGGATTGTACTAGATTCTGTACTCAAGCTGCAGAAAATTAATTTCTTGAAAGCCTGCTCTCTGATTCCATCGGGAGCAGTATTTGTGGTTCGAGAAAGTTAGAATCAGTGGGACCTTTGCTTGGGCAAAAAATGAGCGTTCAGAGGGCTGTGGGTGTTGGTTTCAGCTGTAATTGCAAAGGCCTGCAGGAACGATGCCCGCTGCCTTTCTGCGGAAGAGGCTTAGTGTTTCTGAAATTGCTTCTGTTGCCTCTGCAATTCCCACTCCAGACATATGCCTTTCTTTCGTCTCACGTCTTCCACAAATAGTAGGTTTACTTTTTCTGTAAAATACACATGTGACTTCATGGCAGAGGAGTTTCAAGATTTGCTTTACAGAAAAAAGTTATTTGAGATCCTTAGATGAAAGCTGCTGTAGGCGAGCAGGCTGTAAGATAACATTATCATCACTCACAGATTAGGACTTTGTCTGAGGCTTTAATCCCTAGAACTCTTCTCCATCTTCCTCTTTGACTTGCAGCAAAATAACTTGAATGAAAGGAGCTTTCAGCTTAGAGCTCTGAAAAGTTTTTAGAGCTCTCACCACACTTTCTTGTGCACCTCGATTCACACCAGCATTTGAATAACATCTCTGTAACAACTGCAGTGCCCACTGGGAGAGGAGATAGTTGAAAAGGGTTTAATTAGGGTCTTGCAGTGCAGGTAGGTGGCTGGAAAGGAGAAAGAGATGCCTGCCTCATGTAACTCATCTGTCTCCACCCTTCTATCTTCCAAGGACTTGCACATGAGAGAGTGCAGAACTCGAGGCTCGTAGTGTCCTGATTTTGTCCAAACTCCAAGATAGCCATCTTGAAAAAGGTTTCTCATGTCCCATCAACCTTTTATGCTTAAAATAAATAAATAGATAGAAGCTTGCACAATGGTCTGTCATGCTGGGTTTAGGTTCCGCTCTTCAGTATAACAAAGAGAAACAGATATTTCCCCCTCCCTGCCCTCAGCCAGCTGAGCACTAACTTGTTTGGATATTTCTTCCCTTCTCACTGGGGGCCATTTTATTCCCCGTTTTGGTAATTCTAACCCACTGTGCTCCTAGCCCTTTCAGTTGCTTTTTTTTTTTCCTTTTCCTTTGCAATCCTGAGATGTTTTATATTAGCTTTATAGCCACAGGCTGTAAGGAGTTCAAAGAAAAACTGCCACAGTATTCCCCATGCTGCCCCTGTCTGCCAAAAATTGCTTTCCTTTATGATTTTCTCTCTTCTTCCCCCTTTGATTGAACTTTTGAGGAATCTGTTGCTGATGTCTGAAAATGAGGAGTTGCTTAGATAATGAATTGTGTATTTGGGCTCTGAATAGTGAGAGCAGTGTGACAGTTTTGTTCATCATTGCCTCAAGTCTATGGCAGAAAGCAGCCTGGACCTTTTCTCCTGAAAAATTGTTTCCATACCCATTTAAAGAAACACGGTGCCAAAATCTGTAGCAATTTAAGAGGAGGCACCTGAAAGAAAGACTTGAAAGATGCTGCTCTCCACCCTTAGCTGCAGTGTAAATATCAGATTTCTTAACAGCGAAGCAGATCGCGTTTCTGCCTCTTTGGGATATGTGTCTTGAGCTCTTCTTTGTGGTCTGTTGGAACAAGGGGAGCGCACCACGTGTGAGCTGAGCTGTTCTGCTGGAGTGAAGGAAGAGCTCTGTCAGGTCTGCAGTGTTGAGAGTGTGCAGAGCCATGGGGAAGTGAGCTAAAATGCACATGCGCATTCAGATTGTTCAAAAAACTGGCACTTTCTCTTTGTGGTGGGTGTTTGTGGCCTCCATGAAGTCCATGGAAACTATCCTACAGGCGGTCCAGGTGTCTCAATGCCCTTGCCCTTCCCCAGTGCCCAACAGATACCAACTGTTCACATCGCTAAACCGACTGACTTAGTAAGCATCATCGTGTTCTTCTCTCCTGCTGCTGAGGAGTTGCCTTGTTCCTCTCGTGGTTGCCAGAGATGCAGAAAAAACACTGAATAGGTCGAGTGAAAGAAAAAAGGAAGAGGAATATAGGAGTGAAAGGATTTAAGAACCGAAATAAAATTCTCTTTATAAGATTTAATTTCATATTTTCTCTTGGTTAGATTTGGAGAGTTCTTGCTCCCAATAAATACACTACTGTTAAGAAATACCACATCTGTGCTACCAGAGAATTTGCTTTGAGCTCTTTTGCAGAGTCTGTCTAGAGAAAATGTTCCTTTTCTGTAGCTCTCCTGCCTTCTTCGTATTTCATCTCCCAGTGGCTTTTTCTGCCAAATTCTTTGTGCTCCCAGTGTAGCACACAGAGATTTTAGCCTTCATATTGTATTTGGGCCAACGGAGACTAATGTGGAAGTTTGATTGACATCAACTGAGGTGTGCATTAATAATATATTAGTTCCCTCAGTGCACCATATCCCGATATTTTGGTTGTATCCATCCCATGCTGAAATCAGAGCAGTCCTCGTGGCCAGCCTTTGACAGGCAGTTTGTCCAGGTTAGGATCAGAACAAGCATGAAGCTCTAGCGCTGCTCTCCCAGCTATTTTGGACAGCTGTGTTTGCTCGTGCATCCCAGTTGACAAGACCTTGGGGGACTGGGAAAACATAGATACGTTTCATTTTGCCTTGAAGAAGAGGAGAACATGTGGAGTAAGCATAAAGAAACAAAAACCATTGACATTCCTCCCGGTGCCTTGAGACTGAGAATGAAGGTGAAAAAAAAGAAAGTGGCTGGTGAATTCTAAGAAAGCTTCACTTTGATGCCCAGATGGAGCAAAGCGCAGATGCAGAGGTGGAAATGCAGCTGTTCAGTGGGACTTTTGACAAGGAGCAAGCCATGTCCCCTTTACTTGAGAACCTGAAGGAATGCTGCAGCTCGCAGCACGTGTGAGCCCTCCTGCCGCAGCCATCTGTTTGGCTCTCCTGCAGCTACGGGGGGAGGTATATTTTGCTTCACTGTGGTCGAATACAATCAATGCTTTGGTTCAACGTTCAATTGCTTGTGCCAGCGTAGAGATTTATCACATCAGTTGAGCACCCTGATGTTTTTACAGTTCTTGTAACAAAGCCGAGGAACTGAGTGTGTGTGTGGAATCAGAGCTATGTGAAGTGCTCAGAGCAGCAAGCAATAAGCATGAAAAAAAGGGGCTACTTGTCTTTGCAATAGCCTGTGAGCCCAACTTGAGCCAAAGAGCCTTGCTTTGTGACTTAAAGCCCTGATATTGCAAGCATGTTTCTATAGATTAGTTTGGCCCAGCAGATCATCCATGGTAGGAGCTCATCCGTTGTGGTGCAGCAATCTGTAAGTTTATTGAGGAAGAGCCAGGTCACCTCTTCCACTTGTGCAGCATTTTGAATTCTATGGTCAACTGGAATCAGAGTGGTTTTTTCTCTTTCATAAGATGAAAGAAAGAAAAGACAGAAACTGGGGAAAAGTTTCCATCGTTGGTAGGTTTTTTCCCCTTTCATTGGCAGAGATAAGTGAGAATGTGCTAAAGAGCCTCAGCTGCTGTGCCGGCAATAAGGCCATACCCATCCCAGGAGACCCTGATGCAGTCTCTTTGCATGAACTCTGGTGTCATGCGGGGTGTCCTGTGAGCTGGCCTAAGATTAGGAGAACATTGCAAGTTGAAACTCTTCCACAGGATTTTAATGAACATTTTGTCATTTCTATGGACAGCATTGCCATTCTGTCTAATCAGTCTGTTGCTGAAAAATGATAATATATTAACTATAAAGTAATGCTGCTTTCTTTTTTTTTTTTTTAATAAAAAAAGATAGTCCTGTTTCTTGCAGGAGTTACAGTTCAGGTTCTTTCTTCTCCCATTCTCCTTCTAAGGATTTGGCTTTCTACTTGGATACTGTAGATCCTGGCACAGCACAGGTGTTACACTGTCAGCGGTGAGAGGGCTGAAGGCTGTGCTGTGGGAAGGGGAGAGCTGGGGGAAGTGGAGCCAAGACTGTAGTGGAAACGGGAATATAAAATACAGGAACTTGACAACTCCTTTTGGTCAGCGGAGTGCCACTCTGTCGTCTGAAATGTCTATATATTCCTCAAAAGCCAAACTTCCTTGTGGAAGGGTGAATGTTTTTGTTTGTCTGGGGGAGGAGGTTTATTGCTGTAATTGAGTTCCATCTGGCAAAGGTTACTCCACTTAGCTGAGCTCCGGTGTCAGGAGAGCTGGTCTTGGTTCCTGACACAGATGTGCTGTCTCTGGAGGAGTAGGACCAGAAGAACTCCCTAAGATCAGAAGACTTCTTTTGGTTCTATATTGATGGTTCTGGCCCTCTGCCATGCTAGAAAAGCCTTTTTGTCGTGATGAAACGGTGAAGTGAAGTTTATTGTTGCCTAAAGACCAAAATATTTGAGTAAGGACTGGGTTATAATGAATCGCTGGAGACAATAGGAGGGCTTTTTGTGCTTTTAAAAAGAGTTTAAGTAGGAAGTGCACTTTGCGCTCATGCTAAATAAAACTTCTTTAAAGGATGTGTGAAGTTGTGCAAAACCAGGTGGTATCTAAATGGGACCAAGAAATGGCAAATGGCACACCATTTTGAGCACATCCCTTTAAAAGCCGTATTCCCTGAGGTCTGCTCCAGAGACCACTGATACAGGAAGCTCGACTGTTGCTTTTGTCGGTGCCAGGAGTGAAACTTGAGCATAAGCTTTATGCACTTGCATCAAATGTGCTGAACCCAGTCCTGGCAGACTTGTGAGCTTTTGTATGTGACTGGAGAACAGATCGAAGCTGCCACTAAAACTCTGGAGTACAAAAGGCCGTTACTTATCAGTCCGGTCCTCGTTCTTGTATGAGGTTTGTGCTGAGAGAGCGGAGATAAGAAAGGGCTGGAATACTCAGCTGCTAAAATCTGAATGTGTTTGCTGGTGTCACAAGACGGGGCATCTGGTTTGATGTGTTATTCTCTCTCTTCCCTCTGTTTCTTCTTTCAACATACTGAAATATTTTCCTGTTGTTCCCCCACGTCAGAAATCTCGGCGAGCTGATTGACAGGTTTGTGGCTGACTTCAAGGCTCAAGGTCCCCCCAAGCCCAACGTGGACGAAGGAGGGGCCGTCCTGCCCAGCTGTGCCGACCTCTTCGTGTACTACAAGAAGTGCATGGTGCAGTGCTCCCAGCTCAGCACAGGCGAGCCCATGATAGCCCTGACCACCATATTCCAGAAGTACCTTCGGGAATATGCCTGGAAAATTCTGTCTGGAAACCTGCCCAAGTGAGTTTTGCTTCCCAAACACTGCAGCACCGTCTGGTGAGACATTCCATTGAGGAGCAGATGCTTTGTAGAGATAATTAGTAAATACATACTCGTGAACACTTACGTTTCAGTGTCAAAGAAACCACATAGCAGCAACGTGACTTACGTTCGCTTCACGATTTTCTCACAAGTTTGGTTTGTTGCACTGAGAAACAGAAAGAGAACAAATAGACAGTTACGGCGTTGTTTTTCTTTTAAGGGCCCCTGGAGAGTAGCTTATTTGGCTTTGATTAGCAGTCAGATTTACAGTTTCTTGAAGTCCTTTTTGAAATGCCAGCCCAAGTCTCTTCAGAGAGGTCTGGCTTTCAGAATTGCACTTACCCTGTTACTTGGGTAACAAATTTATGCTATGATTTTTAGCTGCCTCAGCTCAACGTTATACATATATTAATTTGTAATGAAGGTGATTTATTTGTGTCATGCTGAAGTGCTTACCTGTAACTCCCACTGTTCTTGTAACATGTATGTATGAATAAAATATCTAGATGTAAATCCAGTGAAAATAAAGGAAAGCATTATGAGTTTACACCAATATGGATAAATGTGCAGACTAAAGGAGCTCCTTGAGGTATGCCAACCTCAACTACAAATAATTTTGTATGCTATTTACCATCTACAGTTTGTTTCCCTTGTAAATCTGGGAGCAGCTGAATGAATTTCTGAAAACAGTGAAATCTTTTACAAATGGAAGAGGAGAGAGTTACATTTAGACAAGTGGAAAGATAAATTTAATGTGCATTCTCCATCGGACCTCAGCTGCATTCTTTATACGCATTTTTTTGTGTGCTCCATTTTTGCTGTCCAAGATAAATATCACTGTCCTATTTTTTTAATGGATTTGGATTATAAAGAGTTGAGAAGTAGGGAATTTCCTGACTTTAAACTGTTCTGAGTCTTTCTTTGTTGATACACAGCTGTTAATCACCGGAAGACGGTGGAAAGAAGCCGCATCTTCTGTAATTTACTGTGTTGACATCATCAGTTTTTAAAACAGACTACCAAAGTTTCAAATGCATGCTGACGTCTCTTTAGTACTGAGATGATAAATATGCCAAACTACCTGATAGTTACTGAGATTTTTCTGTAATCTTTAATTAGATTTTGAGTAACTGGCAGTGGAGGTGAAGCTAGCTGGAGAAAACCGTATTCCACTTGCATCCTAATCTACCATGTTGTGATTGAGAGAGTTGTTCTTTGCCTCAAGACTTGATACAAAGTTCTGTTTGTCTTTCTAAAAGATATTCCTTAACCAAAATAGCAGTTTTGAGTTTGATGTAGAGTGACACTGACCTGTGTTGCATAGAACATTGGACTTTGTGGTTATAAGGGCTTTTTATGGCATTGAAATGTAGTAGTAATTTTGCAGTGTGTGTGTCTGTACACCTGAAAACCTTACAGGTTTTGTCTTTTTTTTTTTCCAGGACAACTAGCAGCAGTGGTGGGCTCACCATCACTAGTTTGCTGAAAGAAAAGGAAGGCTCTGAAGTGGCTAAATTTACTTTAGAAGAACTCTGCCTCATTTGCAGCATCCTGAGTACTGCAGAGTACTGCTTGGCGACCACCCAGCAGGTGAGCTTTCCTCTGCCACACCACTGGGATGGCACCCACCAGCAGCCCCTCTCTGTCACGAGATGCTGTGCTGCTCCCTCTTCAGGGATAGGCTGCTGTGGAGACTGGAAGAGTCAGGAGTACTAAAATATCCATAGTAGTGTCTGCTCCGCATAGCATCCTGTTGATTATTGAGCTCTACATTATTAAATCTATGTTTCAAAGAAAGGAAAGTATTGATTTTGCTGTTTCTACCTGAGAAAAGCCATTTGCTTGTAATCCTGCTTTGCAGCATCAGTTTTAGATTCAATCCTTTTACACTTGTCACATAATTTGTTTTGGATTGAGGACCAAATTGTGGGAGTGTTTTTGTTTATTTGTTTTGTGTTTTTTTTTTTAAAGACTCTTCTCTTATTTCATGGTCTCCCTTTTATAAAAACAAGGAAAACTAATTCAAAACAGGTTAGGGGAAATGCTTTTATGAAATATTGGGGCAAGGTGAAGTGAGGAGAGAAGGTGTTTATGCTGATGTGCTTTGCAGCCACAGTGCTTGTTACATTCAGGTGCTTTCAAAATGCCATAAGGTGGTAGATGAGCTGTGATGTTTGGCCGTATCAAGGCCTCTCCACCACTAGAACTGGCAAACCTCCTCCTCGGCAGTTTGGGCACAGGCAGGGTGTTGAAAAACATCATCATAATGTTGAAAAACATTAGCAGGACAAGTGCCATGATGTTGAACTAGTACATTAGCGTGTCATACTAGAGTTACATGTATGACCTTGGAGTTTACTTCTTTGAGGACGCAGTGCCACCTTAGGCCATCCTGGCAGATCAATATGGCTAGGGTGTCCAACAAGGACAGATTTCCATTGTTGACTGAGTGAGTTTTGGATGTAGTCTGGGCAGAGATTAGGTTTTAAGAAGCTGACTTTTCCAGGGCATAAGTTTTCAAGAATGGGCATTTCAAGTAAGAAATCTGATCTTTGTTGTTTGTTTTGTTTCCTAACAGTTGGAAGAGAAACTCAAAGAAAAAGTGGATGCAAGTCTAGTGGAGAGAATCAACCTGTCGGGAGAGGTGGAGACTTTCAGCTTGTATGTTCAGCAGATGCATCCTCCTAGAGTATATCAAACATCCTTGTTTGTCAGCCAGATGGTGCTGGAGTAATACAAGCCCAAGATCTCGGTGTCACAGGACCCACCCAGATACACAGCTTAGGCATAGGCATTTCCCTGGTGAAGGAATGGTCATCCTTTGGCTAGTTCAACAGCAGCAGTAGTACAGACTTCAGATGTAGTTGTTCCCCATCGTCCTAGCCAAAGGATCAAGAGCACTGGGAAGAGGAAAGGAAATAGCGAGTTTCTATTTGAAACATCATTTGCATCTTGGCAGCTCTGTGAGGTGGCTGTTGCATTTCAAGAAAGGAAGCTATTTCAGTGCATTCCTTCCTGCTTTAACTTCCCACTGTTAATCAGCAGCCTTGTCAGTATGATCAAACCCCATTTCAGATGACATAAAAGACTAATCCAATCTTATATTTGAGGATTATAATTGAGAGAAGATTATCATTCATTAAAATAACTTTTCATGTAACGATGCTAAAAATATTCCCCTCTAACATCTTCTTCTCTCCACTGCTGACAAACAGATTGAATATTTTTTGAGACAAGGAAACAGAGGAAAAAAAAAAATTGTTTTGCCTCACATCAAACAAAAGAAAACCTTGACAAAGCTGGGAGAATAATCCCTAACACCAACTCTCCTTCTCCCTAAAACTAAGATTCAGCCCAAATAGCAGTAAGATTTTTTTTTTTTTCCAGAATACTTCCTTCCTGTGATTCCTTCTCTCTTTTCTCCAGTGAGCAGGATCCCACAGAATCCCCATCCAGGTTTTTTATATGGTCTCAGGCTCTGTTCCATGCTGCAGAGAATCCCTTCCCTTTAGATGTTTCTCAGACCTATTTAGGAGAGAATCCTTGACCAAAAGCTAGGGTTGCCATGTCCACTAAGCCAAAGCAAGTAAGGTAGCTGAGGAGTAGAAATAAAATATGCCATATGATGAGATTTTCTTAACATGGACAAGTCAAGGGTGAGTTTTGTGTTTTCTCATGACCTGTCTGGCAGGAGCCAGCTACCTTGAGTCGCTGCTCAGTTTCACGGTGGCTGCCTCATGAGGTGGCTGGTCGTAGGCAGCCAATATGACATGTTTTGAAAAATGTTTAAATGTATAGTTCACATTTGCTGGTTTGGGCAGCTTTAAAGTTACACTGACAGCCTGATGTATCTTCTAACAAAGGCTTTTTAATTGGCTTTCAGTCTGCTCCAGTACAGCGCTTTGTCCAGTCTTCTGTCAGTGTAAGTCATAGCTATAAACCTCTCTAGTGTTTGCTCATTCAGCATCAAACAAGTTGTTTCTTCGGGAATTTGATGTCTTGTTAGACACGGTCATAAAGAAAATGGTAAAACATTGCTGCTAGCACACCCTGGAAAGTGTTTTTTCCTTTGCAGAAAGGAGAGTACCCAACCACCCCAAATGCGTATAAAGTGATCAACTTGGAGGGTTTTACTCCTGGGTGGCTAAGTATTTTCTTTAGGAAATGTAGGAAAGATAATGAGCTCTTTTTGAAGCTCAACAGAAGGAAAATTTTTGTTGTGTAAACCCAGAAATTAATTATTCCCACCCCCCTGCCCTATTGATCTGTTGTGAGATTACAGGCAGCATTCAGAGACCCATTGAAGGCCTGAAGTGTTGAACTTACTACAGGAAGAACTTACTATACTAGAACTATACTGCTCATTTATGGCCTCGTCTTCCCAGTTTATTGGCTTCTGTGTATTTATTGGGGTTGTATGAGGATTTATTAACTACTGCTGAAGTACTGTTACGTGCTGCCTGGGGCAAAGTTTTGAAGTGGCTTCTAGCAGAACCAGGATCCAAGCCCTCTTGGCGTGTCGCGATGCTTCGTGTTTGCAACACCCTTCTCGCTGCACCATTGCCCCTCTACAGCAGGTATTTATTTTGAAGTGTAGGCAAATAGGTTTCTCTCCCTGTTTGCAATCTCTTGCATTTTAGGCGAGAGCCTGTACTAGGTGACCCAGTTTCGGAGAGACTCCTGACGTGCGGAGACTAGAGATGAAGTCTCTTTCCTTCTGCTGAGAGGGTTGTGGTTTATTTTGGTGCTGAACTACTTTTTCCTACAAGTCACTGACAGCAGGCGCCCTGCGGGAGTCAGCTGTGCCCAAGAGACCTTTTTTTCAGTCCAGCTCCCTTGGCATTGTTTTAGCTGGTGGAATCCCCCAAGGGAGTAAATCCTGCAGTGCCCAGCAGATGCAGAGGCACCAGCAGAAACAGTCACAGGCTCTTTTTTATCCCAATGCAAGTTTCAGATCATGTAACTGGAAGCCAGTAGTCGCTTCATCTCCCATACTGATTTTTCCAACTAATTTTGGATGAGTTTACCTGTATAAACAAATTAATTGCTCTGAAGGAGTAGTCTTTTACTTGGTATCCTGTCTCAGTCTTTTTGTGCTAGAGCTCTAGGAAGGGGAACAGACAACTTCTGTGGGTTGTGGTGAAGAACACCACCCAGATCCCAGCAGCAGAATTAAGAGTGGGTGATACCATATCTTGATGACGAAGTGGACACTTGAAAATATTTTGAACAGTGAACTCCATAGTAGTACCCAGAACTTCACAAAGATGACGAGGGGGACGAAAGTTGGTTTGAGGAAGCACTGGTCAGACTTCTTACAGATCTACAATTCCCATCTGTTCTACCACCGTTAAGAAAAAGCGAAAGTAAAATCCAGCTCTTACATATATAATCCTGAAGTTGTAAACAGGCATCTGTGGCAGATTAAAGTTTACACTGTTTTTAAAAACTGTACTTACTTAGTGAAACACGTTCACTTACTACTTCCAGCAGAAGTTGTCTGTAATGCGAGTACAGGGTTATGTGCCCTTGAGGGTGTTCCGAGTTGCTGCAGACAATGGGTTTTGGCTGTTGTTTTAGGATCAGTTGCACCTTTATGCACATTGTAACATGGTGGCATCAAATATGTCTCTAAGCAATATCATGCTGTTTACAAAAAAAAAAAGGGAGGAAGGGAAATGTGTTTGACTAGTGTGTCCTTTAGTCTGGTGTATGTCTCTGAGAAATTCAAACAATGGATGGCGGCAATCCTAGACATACTGTAAATAAGACATCTGCCATGATCTTCTCAAATGGGAGACACGTTCAGAACTCATACAGACGTACTTTTTAAAACCCTCTTTGCAAGTTTCTGTGAGTAGTGGAATATTGACTGTAAGTGGGGAGATGATAAACTGTTAGTTTTATGCAGACTGGATTAAATTCGAAGCTGAATCCTGGTCTGGGCTTGGTTCTCGGGGGTTTCTCCCCTTCCTGATGCAAAGGTGGAGCTTATCCCATCTGACACTTTTGATCTCTAGCCCCTTCTATGTGTCAAAACAGAGAAAGGTCAACTATAAAAATGTCCTCTCTATGCTAAAGCCCACTGTAGCTCCCTTTGAACAGTGTGCAGAACTTCCCAGCTTCTTTTCAGGACAAGTTTCAGCCGTATGTATTCACAGCATAATGCTACTGTCAGCTGGTAGATGATTTTCCTCCTTTCACAGTCAAATAAGCCAGTTCTGGCACTGTGTTGCTGAGTACTACTCTAAAATTTGAGCTTGATTTTTTTTTTTTTTTTCAGTGTGATCTCCAACAGCATACAGCTGTTAGTGCAGGACCTGGATGCAGCCTGTGACCCTGCCCTAACTGCTATGAGCAAGGTAGGGGATGGATTTGTTTTGGAAGGAGGTAGCCTTAAGATCTATGTGGAGTTCTTGTTTGCTTTGATTGCTTGATTTCAGTATTGGCATATCCTTTTATGCTGCCTTGAGACTTGGCCATATATTGATTCCTTCTTGCTTCTTAGAGCAGCCGTTACTGTAGTTGTAAATACATCCTTCACTCCAAAAACTCCGATCATTCAGATTAGAGCTTTCGTTCTTTTACAGCACACTAAAACACACGGATAATAAAATACTTTCTGTAAGTATCTAAGGCTTTCTCTTCCCCCTCCTAATGCCAGTAAGAGCCTTTAAAATTGGGAAAACTTTTGTTAGCATGAAATTTCAAATATAGATGATTGTTTGCTGTCCTCTTTGTGTTCTTTGACAAGATGTTTTACTAGCCTGCTTGTTTGTGGCCGTTAAATGGATGTACTCAAAGGGTAATAAGGAATTGAGACTGAGTCCTGTTGCTTCTGTGATCCTCTCAAGGACATATGGAGCCATTCCTAGAGAGGCCCATGTGATTAGTGCTTAAGGATTTTGTTGCTGTTACGCTTCTGGCTTTTATACGTTTGAAATGCAGAGCTGTGTTTTCTTGCCAAAGTATTGTGAAAACCCAGACTGCTTTAGACAGAGGTGAAGACAACAAAAGTGGATTGAACTATATTTTTAATTAGAAATATTAAACAGAGATCTCCGTTTTTTTTGTGGGATCAACACACTGTCTCGCTGCCATGAATTTTAATAGCTTTCTGCTTTATGATGTATTCCAGCTGTAACTAGCCCCGCCACCCCCAGCTAATATTTGAAGTGGAATGCAGCTGGTAATAGAGCTTGTACATGTTCCAAATGAAGAAAGGATTTTTTTTCTTTTCACAGTGAAATAACACCATTAGGAAGGGCTCCACACTTCAGGTGTTATGTGTGTGCCATGACAGCTCCTTAGATCTCCTCCTGAACCTACGTAGCGTAGTAGTATTTGACTCACTTAGCTCTAACTGTTTATACCCAAGTAAACCACAACCTTGGGGAAGCAGCAGCTGGTAGGCCATTTATTTGTGTCTTTGGAACACTGGTAAAATGCAGCACATGTGATGGGACTGATGATATATAAACAAGTTAAGTGTTATGATGTTAGCTAAATAAATACTTGTCACTTGTGCACACATTCCACTATTTGCATCAGACAGAGTCGCTTTTATGTGATTTTTTACTAGACCTGGGTTTGGTGCAAGAGTAATTTTTCCCTTCACCATCCTTCTTCCTTTCCTTCAGGGCTGGGTTATTACTCTGACAGTTGAATAAGAAATGTGTATAATTATTTAAATGCAGAGTTAGTATTTGGATGTGTAAAATTTCAGTCTTTATTAACGGAGTAAAAACTGTGTGCCTGATCCATTCCAGTTTTCCTGTACTGGGAAGGCATGTCTGTCTCAAGACCCCCTACTCCATTAGGGCTCTTCCTTTGTTTAACTTCTTTTCATTTACTTCACTGTGGTGTTCTCCAAGATTGGACATTCCTGGTCCTTTGTTGGAGTCTGACTTTTTTTTTTTTCCTTGCAAAAATGTTCGGTAACTATAGAGGTAAATTTAAGAAATACTTAAACCTCTAAATCCACTTTGGCTTTGGGCCACTTTGAGAGATTTAACACAGAAAATGGCATTGTGAATATTGCTTTCAGCTGGGAAAAGTGCTCAGTTTCCCTGATTCTTTACCTTGTGTGTTCTGGAAGAAATGGTAAATGACAAGGAGGCCCCATATTACAAAACTTGTAGGTGATAATCTTTACTCAAACTTTACAGCAGGTGTAGAACGATTAAACACGACTATAGGACGGGGAGCTGGGATGTGCAGTGGGGAAGGAATTTGCTCTAAACCCCTGTTATCATATTCTGGATAACAAAGTACTGTGAATGTGTTGTACTGATCTGTAGCAGGCGTTTACATTGCCTGGTGTGCTTTATTTTTAATTGTTGGGATGAGGGAACTGCTAATCTGCATGGGATATTTTTGCCCCAGTTAAGTTTATGGATCGCACTGGAGAAGGTTTGATTGACTTGCTGAATTAAGCATCGATTTCTATGTAAAACTGTGCTCGTAAGTGGGGCTGGGGGACATTTTAGTGACTCACGTCAACTGCTTGCTGTTTTTTTTACGTTTTGCTAAAACCTTTTGGCACAGCTGCAGTTTCCTACTTCCCTGCAACTGAGTGGACAACAGCAAGCGTTTAAACACGGAGCTCTAATAATCTCTCCAGTACGTACAAGGAAAGCCCCAAGAGCAGAGCGATCAAAGCTGCCAGCTGCTAATTAAAAGTCAACATGAGCGCGTTTTAGCCAGCACGCAAGATGCAGCACGCAACAGTGCAAACCACAACTCGTGTCAGGAAGCAGCGGAGGCAGTTTCAAAGGCAGCGATTTCGGCTGCCTGCAGCACCCACTGGCTTTCCTTCCCCTCCCACCTCTTCCTGCATGAGCGACGCAAGGTCAAGGGAGAAGGTGCTGGCCTGGCAGTTGCAGATGCTCCCGGTGTCCAGTCCGGAGCCTGTAACGATAATCCGGCAGTGGGATGTGCTGAGCATGGGGACACTTGGAGACTGGTTCATCCCCCATTAAACCACAAAGCCACCCCTTTTGCTGGAGACCTGTGTCAGTGCTGGACATGGAGGAGAGATCTGGTGGTTCCTGGTTTGGTGGCCCTGCCACCCCATTCCCAGCTCCCTGGGGACACAAGGACTTATGGAGACCCACAGCTGGGCAAACCCAGGAGCGCTCTCGAGCCCCCGCTGTACCCAGAAGGCAGCGTGTCCCTTGTTAGGTACCGAATTACCCCGGTTTAGCTTGGGGTTTCTCTCCTCTCCTCTTCTTTTCAAGAAAATGCCCTAAAATCTTGAGGGTCATGTCATTTTTTTGTTGTAAAAGCCATCTCTGAAGGTAGCACCAGATCTTCAAACCCAGGTCCTGCCCTGGCAGGCGGCGGTGTCGCCCCGCGTCCCTGCGGCGTGCAGGTGCCTTTCGGCTGCTGCCGGGGCACCCCGTGCACCGGGCTGCTGCCTTTGGCCGGCGAGTGCGAGGCCACGCCGCTCCTGTTCTGCGGGCTCGTTTTCAGCTTGTGGATGTCAACTATGTGGATATCCCAAGAAAAACATAGGACAAGGGAAAAAGAGGAATAAATTTAAAATGACAGGAACAAAGCTTTACCAGAAGAGTTGGGCTCATATTTCTTTTGATGACTTTTCAGTATGTGTACTATGTCTTTCATTGCAGCTACTGGGTTTTTTTTTCGGGTGAAACAACACCCACACACACACAAAGGGCTATTTTTACTGTTCATGCTTTAAAGGTTCGGTTGTAAAGTATTGCTTTTGGAATGAAGACCAACAAAATGAAAAAGCTACTGTTTTATTGTTGTTGCAATAATTCAACTCAGCAGTCCCTTCCCACTTTCTGGCTGTTCCCACTACATGGGGATGGTCTGTTGGTTGAGGATGGCTGTCTGTTGAGAAGGGCCAGCGCTGGGAATGTGTGAGTCTGTCACAGAGATGGGCACCAAGTATTTCCATCGAATATGACAAGTGCTGCTAAGAGTAGAAAAGCAGTTCTCTTGCACAATCTTCCAAATGAAAGTAAGATGAAATTAAAACCTGAAGAGCAGGTGATGACAGAAATACTCTGTGATGTGGGAGGAGCAGTTGGGGTTTTGTTTGGTTGGTTTAAATAAAGACAACTTTTGCAGGACACGTGTAGACTCTCTCAGACACTGTGGTTTTGCAAAGAATTTGGCTTCTCTTGCCCATTGAGTCACTTCGGCTGCATGTTGTTTGGGTGGAATTGAATCAGCTGGGTTGCAGGGGACAAAGTAGCTGTAATTAAATGAAAACCAGGAATAAAACTTTACATGCAAAATCCAGAATTTGAGAAAACAAGTCTGAGGACAAACACCCCCTCAAAAGAAAAAGCTCATCTTCTGCCTGTGCCCAGTTTCCTCTCCTGATTTCATATGTGTTTTCTTCTTGTTCCTCATGCTAGAGAAGAAACAGCATCTCCAAACAGTTAGTTGGAACACATTGCAGAGTGCGTAGTCTCGGAACAGTAGCAGAGCTAAGAGCACTTTTCTGGATGCTCGTGTTCCTCAGTGAGACTTCATTATATACACGGATACTTGGCCAGGCCTTACCCAATTACCTCCTTTTTTTTTTTTCCTGCATGACTTACACTGCGTGCTCCCTGCGTACTGCCAATAAGGCTCGGAGGAAGTCGAGTCGCACATCTGGCTTGCAGGGGCTATTCTGTTGCATTTCTGCTGACAGCAAATGAAAACAAAATGGGAGGTTGAGTAACTCTTCTTGTTGTGAATGTTTTTACGTGTGTTTGGGATGGGCTGAAGTTGGCATCCCAGCCCGTACGCCAGGAGTGTTTTCAGTGTGAGCTACGCTGGTGTGGAGTGCTTTGGATTTTAAGACTATTTCTACCTCTTCCATCTATCTGTCATCAGTCTCACCAGTATTAAAGCCTTGGCTGCCATACAGGAATCCAGGCTTTGCAAGCTTGCAGATATTTTCTCAAATGCCTGTAATCAGGATTTATATGGGCACTTCATCCCGGCAAACTGGAAACCATTAAATATCAAGGCAGCCTGACGTGCTCCAAAAGCCTGTTTAATCGTAGTGGTCCCCATTTGTGTAGATTACTGGTCACAGTCGCTCTCTGCTCTGGTGCAAAAAGGGCCATTCTGGGTTTTCTTTGTATCTTGTTGTGGAAGAATTTTGCACAATCAGTACAGTGACGAAGAACATGACCTTGATGGTGAATTGCAGAGGCAGTCGCTTGATGATTCCCTAGAGATCTTTTGGTAGGAAGTTTGTACAGTTTTCCTTACCTATTGCGTGGATCTTAATGAATTAAACAGTCTTTTTGGTTGTTTTTTCCCTTTTGTGCAGATGCAGTGGCAGAACGTGGAACACGTTGGTGACCAGAGTCCTTATGTCACCTCAGTGATTCTCCACATTAAACAGAACGTCCCCATCATCCGCGACAACCTGGCCTCCACGAGAAAGTATTTCACTCAGTTCTGTATAAAATTTGCAAAGTAAGTTACCAACGTGGCACAGAGTTTATCGAGGTCTCAGTAATCCTTTTGTACGTGATAATCTATTTGCCTTCTAGTGTGCGGCATCAGTGGCTGTTAGTGTCTGGGTAAAGACTTTCTCCATCCAAGGAGAGCCCAGAGAGAGGTGAGATATGGCAGCAAACACCAGCAGCTACTGGCAAGGTTAAAAGATCCTGGAATTTCTTGCCTCAAGCTTCCTACTGAGGCAGATTTTCTCAGATGTGTGTATTGATTGGTTCCCCTTTGTGTGCCTAAACCACCCCATAAAATACTGTGATGATCACTGCCCACTGTTTGCCGAGTACAGAAGGTTTTGGGTTGGACATCTTAAAAAGGCTTTGAATGTCTGAATATAGACACGACTCTTGCTATAGGAACCTGCTTTCCTTTCAGTGATAAAGAGGATGTGGTGCTTCCAGGTACAGAGAAATTTGGTACATCGTTTGCCTCAAAATAACTTTTATAATAACTATAGCACTGTGAGGAGGGGATGTGTGATGATGGTATTCTACCTTCAGAGTCTAAAAGCTGCTTTTCTGTGCAAAAATTGTTCAGTAAAGACGGGAAATATACATTCAGATTTTAGGGAATATTTGGGCGTCTTCCTGGCAAGTCAGTTGAGCAGCATGAAAGAACTGGAAGATAGGACAGAAGTTCCCCTTGCCTCTGGATTCAGGGTTGAGGGTGCAGGTCTCCATCATCTCTTGGACATCCAAACTTTAAAGCTATTTGTCTGAAACAAAAATTCAGTTCTTTGGGAAGATACTTTGAACTCTTCCCTGCTTGCCTGTGGCCAGCTGAGCTTTGCATGCCAATGCCCCAAGAAAAAATCTCAGGAGGACTTTGCCAGTTGTAGTTGCTGCTTTTGTTGTCGCATGTGACTGTGCTGGTAGACCTGGGAGCAGTACTGTGCATATCATGTGTCACTCTAAAATACCTTAACGTTTCATTCATCTCTAATAAGCTAATAGTCCTGAAATAAACTGTATGGCCTGGCAGTTACTGTGTGGGTTTGAGACTGGAGCTTCAGCCCCTGCTTCAGCAGGGAAAGATGCAGCAGGCTCTCCTGAGAACCGTTCGCTTTCGCAGCAGGGAGGCTGGCCTGACAGTTTCCTTCCCCCTTTCTATCTCAGGGTACTCATTAGTTTGCATTAAGAAACAGTTACTGATAAATCGTATTATGACGTTGCCCATAATCACTGTTTGAAATGCTGTCTCAGTGAAAATTTATTGCACTTAAGCCTTCTATGTGGTTACGCTTGAATTTTATGTTGCTAACAGGGTGATAAATAAAACCCCCGTTTACTCAGCTGTTCACAGCACACTCTTAATACCTCAGCTTAGTTGCCTCCCTTTTAACTTTATTGCTAAGCACATACCAGGTAAACTCCAGATAAAATACCAGCTCTCACATTTGAGAAAAGTTCACGTCTAAGCTGAGTGCCTTCATCACAGCTCGTTCCATGGAGGAGCACAGAAACCTGCAAAACTGCCACTCCGCTTCAAAACCTTTTTAATACATCTATGGTTCTGATCTACAGCACGTTTAAAGTGGGACACAGTCCTGAATTCACTGCGGCGTGGATCAGGTGTAGAGGTGAAAATTTGGTTCCTGACGATTGTTTTTGCCAGATCATACTTGGAATCCTTCTGCATAACTTGGTTTTAAGGAGAACTAGACCAGTGGTGAGGGTGGACTCACCTACTTAAAATGCTTATGACTTTTTAATGCATACAAACATTTGTATTTTTGAAGCTTTTAATTCTTAAGGAATATGCTGGCCTGCCCAATATAAATACTTTACCTTTTGTGTGCTCTGCAACGCTGAAAATCCTTTTAATAGGCGTTGTGCTTCTCCCTATGTTAATGCCTGTATCTTTTTGTACTGCCAGCCCCTTCCATCAGCTCTAATGGATTGTAGAAAGTGCTAGTGTTGAGTTACAGGACCACAGGGGAGAAGGCATCTAAAGTCACTAAATATAAAACTGAGGGATCTAAGCCAAGTCTGGAAGAAGAAAAATGGCCATCAGAAATTGCATCAATCCTCTAACCTAATTTGTCATTTTTGCTTTGTTTTGACCGATATGCAACCCTCACTCCCTTGAAATGGTGAGAAGCAGCCAGCTTTCCAGGAGGCACTCGCAGGCAGGGCGAGAGGCTCTGTTCTCACTGCACCTCGGTCCTTATCCTTTGAAATCAAAAACCCGTGGAAAAAAAACAACAAAACAAAACGGTGAAGCTGTGGCTGCTATGCCGGCATGTGTTTGGGAAGTCTGTGACCTGACCTCGATGAGGAAGAGATTAGAACCAAGAGACAGGAAAAACAAACAGCTCTCTCCCTCGCCAGGAAAGCGGCTCCTCCCTCCCCAACAACCCAACCGGGGGGGGGCCTCCCGGTCGCTCCGGCCTTTGCATCGTGCTTTTAGTGACAGGAGTGTGGAAGAAGATCGTGATGAGGCTCCAGGAGGTTTCGAAGCAGCGGGCTGAGCTGAGGCTGGGTGAGCCTGCAAGGGCCGGTCACTGCCTCGGAGGGTGGCGTAAAGCAAAACCCTTCTCAGCTGCAGTGACTCAGTGACACCGGGATGATGTCCTGTAGTGGCTCATCTCCCGTCAGACAGACGGGCTGTGGTTGCATCTCTGCCTGCCTTGCTTAGCAAAGCGTTGTGTTTGATGCATCATCAGTGCAGGGGATTAGGAAAACACAGGCTTTGGCAGAGCCACTCCCGTTAGATGGGAGCCTCTCAGAGCATAGAATCATAGAATGGTTTGGGTTGGAAGGGACCTTAAAGATCATCTAGTTCCACCCCCCCTGCCATGGGCAGGGAAACCCTCCACTACACCAGGTGCTAGGGTCTCTCTGCTTTAGGTTCCTGATCTGTCTTGCACTGCTTTACGATTACACTGGGGAGTTGTCTGCTTCCATGGAGGGTTTGCTGGATTCAGTTTTATAATCGAAACTGTAAATGAATTCTGGCATCCGGTTCAGCTCTGTGGATGTGCAGGGAGTGGAGGCATTTAGAGTACAAACTGCGTGCAGAGCGTTGCCATTGAACACGCACGTATTATTCGCATCAGGATTGCCTGCTGGATGCTAAGAGAGCCAAGCATCGAGTCCAGCCTAGGCAAGAGACTCAAGCAAATTTCTCAGTTAAGTGCAACTGCTCTTGATGATCTCTGCTAGTCCAGAAAGAAAAAAAGAAAAAGAAAAGGAAAAAATACCAGAGCAGCATTTGGATCTTATGGTTTTGTCCTGTCTGTCCTGCTGGAGTTGAGAAGCTGTTTCTAATAAGGCAGCGTGAAATAACAGGCATGTGGGGATGGAAAGTCTCCTTACCCTTCTGCATTGATTGTGGGTGGCCATCCTAAGGGGCCTGGGAATTATTTCATGCAAGACAGAATGCTGTCTATGGGAGACCATGTGGTTATATAGAGAAGATGATTTTAAAAAAAGGAGAGGGGGGTCCTTTGGCTGCCGGTCTGCCACCCTGCAGAAAGACAGACTCGCCCTGTTTCTCATACACAACATGAGCAATAGCTCCGTGCCTGACCTTACCAGAGGGAGGGAGAGTTGGACCTACATGCAAGATCAAAGGTACGATTAATCTCATGTGCTCTTCTGCTTGTAGCAAGCTGCTGCATCCAGAGCTGCTACCGATTGATCATTTTATAAGGATCACCTAAGCTCCAGCTGCGCTTGGCACTCTCTAATTGCCCTCTGGGAATTAGTTATACAGCTGAAAAATGGACCTCTAAAACAGATAAGTTACATCTCTGCTGTAATGCTTTCGTGCAGGAGGAGACAGGGCTTGTTTTCCTTCTCTTACTTATATTTTGTTGCCAAGGTTGTTTCTGTGGTGGCCAAATTCAAAGCTGTTTGGGGCAGCCCAGTAGCTGGTTCTCAACAGCAGTTTGAAATTGTTCTCCTTGACGCCTCTCCAGGAAAAGATGATTCACTGACAGAGGTCGTGGCTGTGTCTGAGGGAAGGGGAAGGGAAGGAACCTTCGCTTGGAAGGGCTCTTCCTTGAACCAGTTCTTTCGATTTGCTCAGCAGTTTGGCATGCTCTGTGCCTGAGTTACGCTTTTGTCATTCTTCCATGAGAAAGGGCAAAAAATAAGTGTCCCAGCTTGGAAAACAGGTGGCAGGACAAACGAGATGCTGTCCATGCTCCTTGCTTTGTGGGAAGGAAACAAATAGCTTGACAGATGCAAGGGAGAAACCACGGTGAATTTAGATCATCACCATAAACGGCACCTCATTCAAAAGAACAGAAAACAGACCGACTTATGTGAACTTAGGACAGAGCCATGAAAATCTAAGACCTGCCACCAGGTCATGGACAAGGTCCTGGAAACGTGAGCTCCATCGGCATTCAGCTGAAGGTGGCCGTGTGAAGGAAGCAGAGTACGGTAGAGAACGAGGCAGCTAAAGGAAGACAAGAGTGAGTAGTGTGGTCCTGACAGATGGAGTTCGTGTTGCTGTCGCTGACCCCTCTCCTTGCATTCAGTCCTGAGTTTTGCCAGTGCTGCATCTTGGTATAGTAGGTGGGGCAGGAGCATCCCTTGCAGGTGCTCAGCCAGCGCTTCTGCTAGAAGGGAGCATCTGCTGCTCCACCGAAGAATGAAACTTCTACAAAGCCTAAAATCCACACGCAAAAAGCCAAAACCAAAGCTGATGCTCTTGAGTACAATGTCTAAGGTGACAAATATTGAGCTTCCATCCTTGCCAAATTTTTCCCAGTTGAGTATATGTACCTCAGTCATTTTTCTGAGTCTGAAGTCCATGTTAGTAAAATAGAGTAATGGTGTTTTCCTTTTCACAAAACTTTTTCTTTTCTTGATTGTGTTGGCCAGAAGCTTTCTGGAAGAGTGCCTTTCTGTGTGAATGTCCAGGGCCCAGCAGACCTCCAGCCTTGGCTGGACCTCAAGTTCAGTGTGTAATATGCATGATATGGAATTACTAGTATGTAGTAAAATGTAGATTCTGGAGGTACTTCCACTCCATGAGCAGCTATGCTAATCCTGTTGTGTTGCTGGGTTTAGTATGTACGATACTTTGTTTGCTTGTCCTTGGCCTTACACTATAATACTTCACATATAGCTTGTAGCAAGTTATTTACATAGAGTATATGTGCAACTTCTTAATTAACTTTGAGATCAGCATGGATTAAAACAAAAGAATTGTACTTAGGGTTGCTTTGTTATTTAGCGTACTTAATGTGCCTGGGAGTCAGCTTGAGGACAAGGCACTTACGGTGTCTTTGTGGGAAGCCATCCCGGTTTGCATGCTTTGTTACCACAGCAGACTTGTATGACTTCAAATCCTGACATGTAATTGTGTCGTTTTCTCTCTCTTCTTTGCAGCTCCTTCATTCCCAAGTTCATTAACCATCTCTTCAAGTGCAAACCTATTAGCATGGTGGGCGCGGAACAGGTAAGAAAAAGTAGTTGCATTGGCTGTAATGTTTTATGACTTTTGGGTCAAGAAGTCGAGGCAGTTTTTGTTAAAAAGGGGCAGAGAGATGAATTACTTGTCCTGACCTCTGGTGCAGCTGAGGTGACAGGGATACGCTCTGGTACAGGGCAGTGTGGAAGCAGGTTTATAGTGATCCTTTGGCAATTGAACCTGTCCTGGGAGAGAGGTCCTGGCCACCTTCCCAAGCAGTTTACCAATCAAAGTAACAATAGCACAGGGACAACAAACCTCTTGTACACTTCTTTAAAGTGTCATGATGAGATTGTCTTCATTGTGCTCACACAAATGAAAAGAAAGTTGTTTGTGGCACAAACTACTGCAAGAAGCTCCCGTGCCCATCTCAGAAAGACATGTTTTTCTGTGCCATCCTTTCCCAAAGCAGGTTGTTGCCCAGTCTCCCTCTGCTGCTACTGTGCCTCCTCCCGGGGTTAAACTCAAGCCCATTGCTTCTCTGCTCAAAAGAGCTGGGACTTAGTCAACTCATAGTTCACAACAGGAACACTTCATTGAAAAAACAACCACCCCAACCCAAAAACCCACATGTCCAGGCAGTTTCTCAGCTCAGGTAGTTTAAACACCAAGACTTTTTTTTTTTTGCAAGTGTTGAACATAAAACACACACTGTGCTTGGTCTCACATGACAGTGTGTATGCCAAGAGCAGGTTGGTTCCTACACGTTCCCCACGCAGGCCTGGTGACGGTGGCACTCAGTGCACGTGCCTGTGGTGGCAGCTTGCCAGCCCTTAAGCAAAGTGACACCAGATCCTCTCTGGGCCTGTGTGCACTGCACCCAGGTGCTGGCTCCTTCCTCCCCGAGGAAGTGAAGCCATGGGAGCCTAGGAGCCCCTCTGCAGCCTGATGGCAGTTTTGCTAGAGCCTGTGTCTTGGCTGGTTTCCAGTGAGCACAGATAGATGTTTGCCTGCTAGTTGTGGCTAGCAGTTGTCTTTCTCTTCTTCAAGCTATGCAGGGAGGATGGGATTGTGGAGGCTTAGTGCAGTGTTTTCTCTGTTCTGGCCCAAAAATTGCTGAACAGAGGCCCTGGGTTTGGTGGGAGTTTTGAATCTCGCTAGGCGAGAGATGCTGCCGTGCCTTAAGAAAGGAGAATTTCTTTCCTGCATAAACACCTTCCAGGCATTACGTCCTCAGGCGTTGCAAAACACATCAAAACACTGCTGCGTGGTGGGGAGGAGCCATCTCCACCTCTGCAACTCAGTAACTGAGACCCAGGGAAGTGACGACCCACTACCTGGGGCTCAGGACTGCCTGGCTTTCTCCCAGGAAGCAGCCTCCCTGTTGCATTTTCAGAGAGCTGTAGATACTGCAGGATGGTGAGACATGATCTCAGGGAAGGAAGGGTGTCGAATCACTGCCACTTGAATTAACATACCCGTTTCTGTTGAAACGCTGCCCCTTGCCCCAAGCCCCTGTCCCCAGGTTGCACGTGGGTGGGCAGCACCAGGGTATTTATTACCTTGAGACCATGGGTGCAGCTGCAGGGCTGTGACCCTTCATCTCCCCCCCGTGCTAGCGGGCTGGGACCCCGCTACTCTGCGAGGATGAGGTTTGGATGAGGCAGGCTTTCAGCTGTCCCCTGCATGTACAGCTGCTCCCCTGTGGGCTGATTTAAAAAAGAAAAAAAAACGGAATTGTCCGTAACAAGACTGCTGTGAACTTCAAGTCGGTGCCTTAAAAGCAGCTTGGGTTTTAGGCATCAAAGATGGGTTCTGAGCCGTGTGCGTCTGCAAAATGAAACAGGAGCTTTATATCAAAACCTTCCTCTTTCTTAATGGAAAGCAAATGAGCGAAGTGTGGTTCCTGCTCATCTTGTGTGATGAGCAATAACCTGAGAGTGATTAAATGAAGTCTTTTTTTAAACAAGCGTCTAAAGTGATTAACTGGTTGCCAGTGGTGGGTTTGTGTTTAATGTTCAAAGGTTTTAATATTACTGTATTGGAATAACAGGCCCAATTTGGTTCTTTAGAGCAGACTGGGAGATTTTTATTAGCCTGATTCACAGTGAATATTTCTCATTATAAATGGGACATACCTGCCTGCGGTTAGATGTACAGAGGTCTTCCTTCAGAAGCTGGTCTCATCTCTCTCTGCAGCATGTAGCTCCTCAGTTCCCTTAGGATCTTTTGAGCATCCCCCTGGTCACCCACCGGATTCTTCCCTGCTGGTTTCTCTCCCCTGGTGCAAATGTTGCTGTGGAATATGCTTTCCTGGCCTTCCTGATCCTAAATACAGCTGTTCCTGCTGTTTGCTAATAGTCACGTTTGAGACCTGGACACTAGGGTGGTATTTACAGAGGCGTTCTCTGACTTAACGACGATTGTCCATCTCGGTAAGGTTTGGCAGTGAGTTAGCAATGCCAGGGACCTGGAACAGGTAACGGGGGGAGATAGATGAGGGGACAGAGCCTGCGAGTGCTGTGTCTGTGGGAAAGGCTACAGAGTGCACAAAACTCCTCATTGACATGAGAGAGTTTAAATGGGAAAGACCTGAATTCCCAACCGTGAAAAAATCTTCCATCCATGGGATGCCTTGTAGACACGCAGGAATCCAGGTACAACAGTCTGAGCCAACATCAGGCTCCAGCAGCTCTTGGGGTGCACAGAGCTTCTTGTTTGTGCTGTGGTTTCCTGGCTTCCCGGGACGAGGTTGATGGCATCGGTTCATCTCATGCAAACCATGAAACAGGCAGCACACAGCAATGTTACGCTGCCGCAGATAACAGGGTCCAGATTTGAACTGGTGTGACCCACTGCCCTGGGCTCAGTCCTTTGTATTTAAACTGGATTCCCACATGTGCTGAAAGCCGTACTGTAAATGTTCATATTGTTCGTGGTGACTGCTGGCGGGTTCTGCAGTGCCCGTAACGTTGTGTGTTGCTCCAGAACGAGCTTCCAGCTGGTCCTCAGAGCCCTTTTGCAGGAAATACGGTGGGTGTGCCAACAGCCCCGTGGGTTTTCGCACTTGCTGCTGTATAAATAAATTGTGCTCCTCTTCCTCTAGTTCAATTTCAGATTTCTGTCCTTCATTGGTCTTGTCTCACCTCTTCAGACATACCTCATGCAATCAGAAGAGTGCAGTATTTGGGGTAATTTTACTCTAAGAAACCCCAACCCACAGCATTTTGTCATCAGACAGAGCTTGTCTGTCTGGGCTGAATCTCATGGCTGCTGCTTATTTCCCTGCTGTTCTAGTAAAAAACAATATCCAGGCTGTGAGTTTGAGTGTACCAGTGAGCACAGGATATTTTGAGCAGTTCTCAATGTAGCTGTATTGTGTTGCCGTTTTCTTTTTAAAGAAAAAAATGTAGTGGTTGAGTAAATGCAGAAAACCTGATGCAATGGGTGGTTGGATGCAGGGGGAAACATGATGTTAATTCATTTGACCTCCATATCTAAATAATGGTATGGCTACAGGTAAGGGAGATTGTTTCACTTTGTACTGTCACAGGGAAGAGGCATGGAAATCCATGCCTTGTGGGCCAGATGTTGAGCTGCCATAAGTCATTTCAAGTCAGCAGAGCAGCACTCTGTTAAAATCAACGAACAGTGCTGATACGTAGCCATGGGTGATCATGTCTCCTTGAAGTGTCTTTACGTGGGTCAGTCCTTCCTGTTCCTGCAGTCCAGTTACCAGGACTTTTTCCAGTGTGGGAAGTGTTAAACTTTTAAGGATGTTGGTTTGTAGCAGCTAATGTAGTTTGGTAGAAGGGACCTGAATAACGGGGTGTGATTAACTATTGCAGCTGCTGCTGGACACTCACTCTCTGAAGATGGTTCTCCTGGATCTGCCCTCCATTGGGTCCCAAGTGGTGAGGAAGGCTCCTGCCAGCTACACAAAGATAGTGGTGAAAGGCATGACTCGGGCTGAAATGATCCTGAAGGTAACTCAAGACTTTTGATAACCTGCCAGCCAGACTGCTGGACTGGGAATCAGAGCAAGCAAATTCCAGGGGGCCCTTCCTTTGAACGCGGCAATCTGCAATTGCACGTGAACGTATGCGAGCTTGTCCGGGTGCGCTGCCAGCTGTTCTACAGAACTGACTTATCCGCCTTGGTTTTGCCCCCACGCTCTTTTAACATTGCATTTGAGTTTTCATCCTCATTTTTCAAGGTAACTGAGATCTCAAGTTCTGCTTACTAGGAGAGCTGGGGCACCACATTCCCTCAGGAGCTTGTGAAAATCAGAGCAAGCATCCATAACTGTATGCCGCAGGGCAAACCCTCCAGTTCAGGTTACTCCAGGCCTTTGTGCAGACTCCATCACTCAGGGGAGCCAAGCCGTGCTTGAGTCACCTGTTTACTGTCTAGTGTAACAGCCAGTGCAAACATGTCTGGGTTACTGTATTCACCAGAGTCCTTTTTCATTTTCCAGACCCAGTGCCTGGAAAATGACCCAAAAGCAGTGTGTTGTCTTCATAGAAAGTAACAAGCAAAGCAATCTCCCCTTCCCCCCCCCATTGCCTTGCTGGTTTAATGCCAAGAGAAGCCATGGGAGCTGTGCAATTGTACCCTCCTGGGCAGCGGGATTGTCCCCTGCTCACCAACAACGCTGTGAAGATGTTCATGTGAGTTAGAGGGACCTGGGGTTGGGCAGGACAGGCAGGTGCCAGCCAGAGCCTCCTGTAAACGCGGCCAAGGCAAGGAGGGGGTGCGGAGTCCGGGCTCTCCACGCTCGCCTGCTGCTCAGCGTGCCTTTGCTCCCATGCCCAACGTAATGTCAGAGCTGAGTTTGCATTCTGAATTCAGAAATTAGTTCTGCAATTCCATGCTTTTGGAGTAAGGTGACTGAGATGTTAGTAGATACGTTAAAGCAAGTCTAGATTTTCTTAGAAATTACTTGAAGAAAAATACCCTGGTACTGCCAACAGAGGAGCAGAAAAGGTTGGTGCCTGTTGCATCCAGAAACAGGTTTATCCTTGGAGCTTATATATGAATCAGAAAAGTAATGGAGTTCATTTGTCTGCCCTTAACGTCACATTGGCTTCATCAGGACTGAGATGAAAGCAGGAGAGGAAATGGGTGGTGGCTGAGCCCCGTGCCTCGAGCAGGGAGTGCAGCTGTGGGTGCTGCTGGTCCGTAGGATGCAGCGTAGCAGCGTGGCTGCTTTTCAGATACCCTGTGCTTGCCGTGCTGCTGCGTGAAACCCTTCTGCTGGCCCCGCGTGAGGGCTCAGTGTCAGTGTAATTAGTAATTAAACAGCGATGCGCTGATGGCGTTCAGTGCTCCACCCCTGTAAGCAGCGGGCGCTGGGGCTGAGTGGTTGCCTGGGGCAGGTTCGTTAATCGTAGCGACTGAATAGATCACCCTGAGTCCAGGTGACCCACACACAGCACTTGGGGCTGGTGTCAGCACCCATTGCTTGGGGCTGGGAGAGAAAAAGAGGTTCTCGGCAGTGCCCGCTCCTTTTGGACCACCAGGATTTCTGCAGGAAGGTTTCCTTGCAGGAGCCCAGAGGTGACTGGTCATCTCTGGCCCTTCTGTTTGCCTTGTGGGTTTTGTCTCTTTATCAGTGCTTGGACTCTCTCTGCTGTTTCCAAATTGTACATTAAAGAGTTTTTTCCCCAAGAAGTATTTCACCCCGTCAGAAGCCCAGGCTAATACACTCTGCCACAGTGTTTTCAGGGCTCCCCTACCTAGTACCGAGATGGTTCAGAAGCGATGCCTCTGTGTCATACAGCAATACCACCATGCAGTGTCATGCCCAGGCTTATACCAGTGTTTTTTTCATCATTGAGTCCATAGGTGGCACAAAGAAATTAATTCAGCCGAGCCCTACAAAGCGCAGATGCAAGCGGGGAGGAGAGCATCGGGGTGCGCACGTCCCGCAGAGCTGTTTCCTTTCTCCTCTGGCTATGCTGTCTGAAGTTCCAGCGTTTCATCTTGGCAGAAGATTTTTACAAGGGCTGTAAATTAAGGATTTATAAGTGTATACATGGCTATGATGTTTCATTGGTCTGAAGTGCAGGAAAAGAAAGAAATGTTTTGGTGACAGAATACAGTGTGGGGCGAGCTGGGTCAGTGGAAACATATGGAAATGTTTTCAGAGACAGGGAAGAGCCTGGTCCTGCGCTGTTTCTGCCCTGTGTGTGCACACACACAGACACACACATACTCTGTCTATCCCAGAAGGATGGGTTTGCTGCCCAGCATTATCAAAAATGTGTTCTCTTCAGAGCTCACTGCTTATGTAAGGAAAATACAACAATGAGTAATCATCTTTCCAGCTTCAAGGCTATTTTAATTTTTTTTTTTTTTCTGATTTGACTGTTTCTGGGACTAAGAGGGTGTGAGCTCCAGGGCAGAAGTTAGCGGACGGTTCGCGTTCTGCATCCCAGTCTCTGCAGAGAAGCGTACGAGAGGAGCTGCACCCAAAGGACAGAGCGGCTGCATGTGGCACTGCTCACCCATCAGGTTTCGTGTCAGAAGCAGGAGGACTGCAAAGCAGATCGCTGTGCCCCTGGGGACAGAGGGAGTAACTGCAGAGTGTTGTGAGATTTCCCTGCGATGCACTGTCTCTGCTCTGCTCCGGGCAGGAGGAGTGAGAGGGATACACAGCCAAAGAGAGGGTCCGGGTGACATCCAGGCTGCCTGATCTGCTGGGGACTTTGAGTGTTCCCACCACCACCAGCACTGCCTTTCTTCCCCAAGTAACTCCCTAGCTAGTCTTCCCCATGCAACAAGATAAAATCTCGAGCTTTGCCAGTACGCCAGTGCCTGCCAGCCCACAGGCTACGAAGCCCTCCTGCTCTTTCAAACATGATACGCAGCCCCTTGGGTCCGAGCACCACTGCTGTGCGCAGAGACCCCGTCCTCCTCCCTGCTCCTTACTTTCCTTCACTCAGCTTTACCTCTCAGTTGCTAGCAGCATGTGCAGCCTCTTTCTTGTTCCTGAGGCATTTTATTTCAGGAGAAGCCAGTCCTGCTGTCACTTGTGTGCCTGAGTTGACTGAGCACTGGCTTTAACTCGTACAATTTGTCTGATCTTTTTTTCTCTTGTCCTGGCAGGTGGTTATGGCTCCACACGAGCCTCCAGTTGTGTTTGTCGACAATTACATCAAGCTCCTTGCTGACTGCAGCACAGACACTTTCCAGAAGATACTAGATATGAAGGTTAGAACCAGTCCTACAGAGTTTCTGCTCATCCGCTACCGCGACATTGAGATTGATGACTTTTTTTTCAGTAGAAATATAGAGGGATTTGGAAGGGGGAAGGCAAGTGTATCCTCTGTACTCTGAAACTGTGTAGACTTACTACTGAAGAATAGTGTTTCAGTGCACTTAGCATGCTCATAGCTGCTCTGGCTCCCAGGGCTGAGCTCAGTTGTCTCGGGATCATCCTGAGGTCTACATACAGCTCTTGGTGGGTGAACAAAAGGTCGAGGTTTGAAACGGGCTCCCCCACAGCTCTTCTCATGCATTCCCGCTCCCAGATCAATGAAGTCCAGCCTGATTGCTTCCCTCTATTTTGCTCCCACAGGGCCTGAAGAGGAGCGAGCAAAGCAGCATGCTGGAGCTCTTCCGCCAGCGCCTCCCGGCTCCCCCCTCCGGAGCAGAGAACACCGGCTCACTCTCCCTGAGTGCTCCTACGCCTGAGCAGGAATCCTCTCGGATACGGAAGCTGGAGAAACTCATCAAAAAAAGACTTTAAGTGAGCAGAAGGAAACTCTGTTGCTCAGGACTAGCTGCAGTGACTGGCAGCAAAGCTCGTCAGACTTAATGATTTACAGTATGCTGCTGAAAAGTCCGTGTCCTGCCACTCCCGTACCCTGTTGATCTCTTAACCGTCATGTACCGTGGTGCTGCATCTCCTTTCAGACCAAGGGAGGATCTGACTGAGATGTTTGCCCTTAGACAGCTCAAGAGGAATGAAACCCAGGACGTGGCTGGGTCCACATGGTAGAGAAAATAGAGGTACCTGGAAGTCAGCAGCTATAAAAACGGTTTAGGTGGATTTGGAGAATATCTGGCTGAGATTCACTTGGTGTCCCGGCCTTCAGCCTGGCTGAGCTCCTGCTGCAGCACTGAGGATTTTGCCTGAGAGTTTGGTGTTACTGCTCACTCCGCGTTGTAGAGCTGTTCCTCTGTTTCACTATTTATTGCAGGGAGGGACAGAGACTGGGACCAACCCCAAACCATCATCACCACCAAAAAAACCCCAACCCTTTAACAGCTGGGACCCAGGCAGCTGCAGCTTCACTGAATTGATGAGATGCCCAGGAGACAGCGCCAAAGAAGATTTCTCCCTTGCTCCTAGGACGGGCGTGTATAAACCTCCAGTAAAACAGCAAGGCAAATCCTTTTCAGAACAGTAGGAAAGGGCTGAATCAATGCCTTCTGCACCTTGGCAAACCTCCTGCCAACAAGCCAACAGCTTCAGTCACTGTTACAGCTTAAAGGCCAAACCAGACATCTGCGGAGCCCATCTCCAGCTGCTTGGTGTTTCTCTTGCATGTGCTGGACATGCGCGCTGCCCCCCGTGGGAGTTCCCATCCCACATCTCGCCCTCTCTCCACAAAAAGCCGTTCATGGAGCAAGTGTCAAACAGCGCCAGCCCCTCGTTCTCACGCCAGCCGGCGTGTCCCAGGCAGGGGTGTGCCCCTTTGGCAGCTTCGCTGCCCGGCAAGGAGAGAGGCTGGAAATGTTGGCTCTGACAGGGAGCCTGGGCCTCTTCCCGGGACGGGACACTTACACCAGCCTCAGACTTTGAGGACCTTCCTCTCCTCCTCCTCCGATCTTCATCTTGCACCAGTGCAGAGAGGAGGAGAACCAAAAGTGAAATATTTCAGATAACTCTACCGCAAAGGCAGCGTGGAGCAGGGTTGGGGTCTGTGGACGGCTGCCCCCTGCCCATTGTGTGAGCTTCCCCAAGGAGTCTCAGTGCAGGGAGACATCACCTCGTCATTAGCATGCTGGATTTCTTCCCAAACTCCTCTGTGCCCTTTTTGGGAGACTTTGAAGGCATATGCCCAACCGTGAACAATTGACTCCCATATGGGTTTAGGGGTGGATCGACTGCCCGTGCCTGCTTTAACTCAAGCTTCGCTTGCACGTGCAGCAGGAAGCAAGGCCTGTACCAGTTTGGCAGGTGAGGAGCAATGATGCTGTCAGAGGCCTTCTTGGGAGGATCGTGCTCCCCACCAGGTCAAGTTTGGGCCTTAAGACTATATTTATTAGGGACTGTGCTCACTGGGGGTTGTAGCACTCACCGCTGCACATCTGGGAGCCAGGGATCAGACACACTCCAGGAAAATGAGCACCCAAACCCAGAGCCCCACTGGGACCAGGGAGGGAGGAGGTGAAATGAGAAATCCCCAAGTGAGGCAGAGCCTGGACTCATGCTGCATCTGCCTGTTCCTGCTTCAGCACCATCCCCTCAACACCAATTCTTGGTGTTTTCAGTGGTCCCCAGGCCTGGGCCCTGGCTGCGGCATGAGGGTGCTCAGCTGCGGAGAGCCGTAGTGGTGATGTCCCATTGCAGGCAGCCTCATGGCAGAGCAGCAGAACAACGCTTGTGGGGAGGGACGGCAGTTTCCCATCACTCTAGTTTTACAAATCTCGCTGCTGTTGCTTCCTGTACTTCGTCTCCTGATTTCATGTCAGGTGACAAAAGAAGGACTGATGGTTGTAAGCACATTGGGATTACGAACGCTGTTCCCCAAGGACGGATTATCTCAAGGTGCACGTGTTGGATGGTTCAAACGTTATCAAATGCAATAGCTGGGGAGGAGGGAACACGGGTTTGCAGGGATTCATTATTCCCGTGGAGGGATGAATAATTTATTTTAGACTAATTTTTCTTTGCTCTGTCTGTGGATGACACTCTAACTGAATTATCAATAGCTGAAGATGATGTTCAAGTTATCATCATGTGTCTTTCCCTGAAGGCTTCCTCCATTTCGTTCTCTGCATTTCATTCTGGAGATAAGAAGAAAATGAATTTTTAGTTTCAGCCTTCGAAGAACGCTACAGGTCTGGTGGTTGGAGTTCCACTTTCAGAGAGCAAGTTTGTGTTTTTCTACTTTGAGTGTAAGGGTTTTGTCCCCCGACTCGTGGGTGTTTCTCAGATTTGGCATGTCTGTATGCATGCAGTAGCTGTTCGGGGTTTACATCTCTGGGTAACAAAGAATGATTTTTTTTTTTCTTTATAAAATGCCACTTTTCACGTTTTTTGGCCGAGGTGTAATTCTGCCGGTATGTTGGAGCGTGACACTAAAAAGAATTAAATGGTTACTGGTGTCTGTCTGCTGGGTGTTTTCTGTACAACTGCCACACAGCAAACCTCTGGGGCCGGGACGGACCTCACCCAAAATTGGCTGTACCCAGGGCTCCACGCTGTCCATCTCCATTACTCCCTCCTGCAGCTTCTCTCTTTTCTGGCTTTTTCCACCTTCTGCTGCTCCAGCAGCTCCCTGCACCATGCAGGCGGCTCAGCGTAGCTGACCTTGTCCTCCTAAATAATCGGATCATTTCTGATAACACTAACTGCTGGAGAGATTTCTGAGAAAGCCTAATTTTTCCTTTGAAATTAATTAAGAGGTAGCGCTATTTTTTCCGTGCGTGATGTTGGAGTTTCTTTCGCTCGGAGAATTAATGACTCATTTGCTTTTCTCCTACTGCTCTGCCGGTTCTGCCCCCTCCGCCCTTGGGCAGGAGCAGCCCACGCCAGGCGACGCGGGTGTTTATTTCTTTCCCCGGATTTACAGCCGTGAGTTCGAGCATCCGAGTGACGATGTCCAAGTGTCCACAAGCCTTTTCTTGGCCGCAGCTGGGCGGGCGGCAGATGCCGATGCTGTTCGGCAGCGTCAAGCCACAGCCCTGCTGCGCTTCGGAAAACGAGCGGAACGTTTGTCTTTGGGCTGTGTCAGAAAAGGCTTTGGCAGAAGGCGTTCCTCTGCACGCCTGCTCTGCTGGGGCCAGTTACGCCAGCTGGTGCTGCCGTCGCCCAAAATTTCTAGGTTAAAGCCTGTGCTCGTTCCCTTCTCTCAGCTGGAGCAGCTCCAACAGTCCCGAGCTGGAGTGTCCAGGTGGGAGCACGTTGGCTTGAGTACTTTGCCAGCCTCAACTTTGAAAGTGCAGGGACGGCTGGGGGTAGCTTGGTCCTGGGGCCAGGCATGCCCAGGATGCCAGGAGGCTCCCTGGGCCCTCATCTCGCCTGGGATACAGAGTCACAGGGGCCAAAGTACCGCAGTTTCCCTGTACTCAGGCTGCTGGGGAGTGGCAGTGCCCTTCTGTTCCCGGCAGGACATGGGGAGCCCATGGGGCTGCCATCAAGGTCTGGATCCCATAGGGAGGGGAAAATCAGCCTTTGCCGCTTGCAGCAGGACCTTCCCAAAGCCCTGGGAGAACCTCAGCATGTGGTTCGTGACAGCAGCAGGGCTGTAAAAGCCGATCGAAACAGCAACTTCAGTGATGTGCCATCAGTGTTCATCCCCGCAGCCGAACCGCTCGATCCGCTCCCGGGGCCCCCATCGATTGCACTGCTTGGATGCGTCACTGTGAGCATGACTCCCATGCCTGGCAGATTGGCGGTCTGCACTGGGGGAGCAGCCTGGCATTTCCCATTGTTATGAAATAACTTCCTATCATTATGAAACAACACGAGATTCTTTGGATTTGCTTCCCCCTGCCCGCAGAGACAGCCCCCCGCACCGCATCAGTGTGCCTATTGTTCAGTTGCTGATAAAGCCGAGCGCGCCCAGCCCGGTGGAAAGTCCTTTATGGAAGGAGGATCTTGATAAGATGCTTGTATCTGCTCTATCCCGCTTGTGCACGGGCAGTTAAAAAGTAAATAACATGGACAAACAGACTGTGATGTACAGGCAGGGGAAAAGATTTCCAATGCCGTCGGGGATTGCGCGGGTTGGTACGGTTTGAGAGGCTTAAAAAGAGACGGGCTTTCCGAGAGGGCAGAGTACATGTGCCTTAAAAGCAGAGCCCCTGTATGCAGTGGCTATCAATAGTATTTTAGTTATTGAGTAGTTAAAATTCTGGTTAAACATTTCCTTTTCATCCTACCTAGCAGGTGAATTTGCAGCTCTGGATGTTGGTGCTGCAGGAGATAGATCCTCGGGTCTGAGCCTGGTGCGAGGCAGGATGGGCTGCAGAGCCCTCTTGGCTGCTCAAACACCTCCATTTCACTGGCCAAACCGTGCAACAAGAGCCTGCAAGAGCACAAAAACCCTGTAATTTGTGGCAAGCCAGGCCAGCACAGGAGGTTTTTTGCTAGGAAATAAAGAGCAGCGAGGTTTCCAGAAGCCCGTGCGGCTCTGCTCATCCCCAGCACAGCCGGCTGCTCCCCAGGCACCCAGACCCCGAGCCCCACGGGAGCGGTTGTGGGGGCACCCACAGCCCTCAAAGGTGGCTGCTGGGAGGTGCCACAGGTCCCCTCCCTCCTAAACTGCACCAACTCGGCTGTTGGCAGTGTGGTTTTTAGCCCAGGAGCTGTGTGGCAGCTCTGAAATAATGATCGCCTTCATCTGGCAACTGCTCCAGCGCCTTCTGAGGCGTCTAATTTCATAAAGAGCTTTTATGGGAGATGTTGGAGCAAGGAGCGATCGGCTTTCCCATTGCTCGCAGAGACCAGAATCTCTCTTTTTTTGGGATGCGTTTAAATCAAAAGGAAGAAAACACCTGTCCAGCACATTTGTTCAGACCCCAAAGATTTCAATCACATTTTTGAATGTTCTTTTTCTTTCCATCTGCATTTTTCAGCAAAGACAAACAGCCTCATAGTATTTCTTCAAAGGAATGTAAATTCCTTGAGGAAGTCTCCGGAGTTC